GTGGCGCATTGATCTTGACTTTGGTGGAAACGGACGTCATTATAACCGTGTTGACCAACAAAATGGTCGAAATGTAATAACGAAACTTTGGACTGGCATAATTTGGCACAACCATTTCAGTCGGGCCATTTATTAACGGTTTAGCCGAACCATTTGCATAGCGTCACCACTCGCCCGCAGACGGTGAATCGATCGATGCAGACTACTGCGCATAGAGGCAGGCGTAGGGTGGCCAGATATAAAATACGAAAATACGGGACAAAGATAAGAATTTTTTATTATGAATAAACATCTATTTTTGATGAAATGCTTGAATATTTAAAGTCTTAATTGATTACTAACATACCTATACATATTTAACTTATTAAAATAATCTATTTTGGATATTTTATTACAATTGTCAATTTTAAGAATTATAAATATTTTTTTGTACTTATAAGTATAAACTATGATAACTATAATATAGTGTAATATGAATATTTGATTTAACTGGTGTTAGAAGTTGATGCTTGGGTATTTGTAAGTATTACAGTTTTAACTTTCGTTAAAAACACATTTTCTTTTAGGCATAGTTATTATTTTAATTATTATTTATTACTTATTAGTTCAACTGATATGATAGATTGTAAGATATACCTACACAATAAACGTTCACACACGAAAGCAAGACAAGCACGAAAGCAAAACGCTAACTGGCTAACTGACTAACTGAGAAACTGGGGATGTATAAAAATTATAAATATTTTCACCGACACTACGAGAGATATCATTCTATTTACAAATAATATATACACATATTGTGCTATAATATTATTATGTCTCATCGTCGGTCGCGACGTCGTGATCGTAATCGTCTGTATGCGGGCTGTGATCCTTTACGACGAAAACCAAAAATAACTTTATATTCGAATAATCGAATTCGATACTTACAAATCGGTTATCGTAATAATATGGCAAAAACACCATTATTCTACAAAATATGCATAATTATATACGATATACATTTACTCCGTAGACCGTAATTGATATTTAATACAGATAGACGAAGATTACCTATATTTTTAATATTTTTTTTTTTTACATATTTTCTATTATATGAAAAAAACGGGACAATATAGCGTCCCGGAAGCATATGTCGGGACAACGGGACAGACTTTTGAAATACGGTACTTTCCCGTATAATACGGGACGTCTGGCCACCCTAGGCAGGCGCATTTTCTAGGACTACATTTTCGTATGGGCAACATTAAATTTATAATTAGGTTTTAACTGCAAAGAATATTCCTCATTTCCACCCTTTCCCCCAATAAGGGGTACCAGAAATTTTGGTGTGGCAACTGCCCACCCTGCGTCCCTGCCCACACGCTAGAACCGCCACTGCAGAGAGGAGCCAAACAACAACTCGATATCGGATTCATCATCCTCAGAAGCCTTTTGCACCGCGATGTTCAACATTGAACTGATCAACTCGTCGCTGAACCGGCGCCATCACCGCGACTTGACAACACGATTTTCTAGGTCCGGCCATTTCTTATAGCTCATCGAAAACTCGGTGCATCGCCATCCATTCGGCAGACGTTGAATGAATCTCGAATTCGAACCATGTATTATGCACTGACTGTACTGCAAGGCGCAAGCATAGGCGCACATTGGGTGTGAATTTAGGGGGTGCTGGGATAATTTATGGTTCACAGATCCGTGGGGGGCTTTGCCCCACACACCCCCCTAATCCTAATATTTCTGCATTGCATTAGATTTAATTTGTATAGTGTATACAATAATTTCTAAAGTGCAATGTATCAAATAACCTGTATGATTGTAAAGAAGACGCTAGGTACACCCACATGTGTTGTCTACGTAGGTACAACATAGGCAAAACTGTTTTGCACGGGTATAAAAAACATTCAGGCTCTACTCTAAGCTAAGAAACTAAATGTTCACACTACAAAAATGAGAAAATTTACTCTGTAACTTTGTTTTTATATTTCCGATATCAAAACCAAAATAAAAGTTATTTAAGTTTGATAAACAAAAAAAGGTGCTCTGCTGTACAGTAGGGTACAAGTGGGTCACTGTATAATCGATGGTAATAAATTTGAATTCAATGATATACTAACATCATTGTATAAGAAAAACCATTCTGAGCGAAGACGGTTAGTCAGCCTATGATATTACTAAGTATATTTGATGATACTAAGGTGAATAAAGCAATTTATATATAACCTATTTACGTAGAATCTTGTTTTAAATTTTTAATCATTAGCTATAAAAGTTGAACATTTTATAAATTTTTAACTATAAAATTATTATTAAATTTTAAATGTGATAAATGTTGTCAAAATTTGAATTTTAAATAATTATAAAAAAAAATTGTGCCTATGTATTTTTAATATTTTTCAAGTGTTATTGTAACAATATATCAGGAGCTTTGCATTAAATTTTCAAGCTTTTTTACCATACAAATAAAATTTTATTGATATGAATAGAAAAAAAAATTTAAAAATTGAAAACTGAAAATGTCCGTAAATAGCTCAAAAAGAATCAAAATATTTTCAAAACTATATGGTGTATAGAAAATGCTAATATAAAAATTTAGTAAAATTTTCAAGTATCTACAGTCATTCGTTTTTTAATTACAACAAAATTAGAAAATCGTTACATGAGAAATCGAGTGAATATCAAATGTTGTAAAAATATGAATTTCAAACGTTCATAAAAATTTAATTTGAGATTCTTGTAGACATTTTTTTTTTGATAAAGGTAGACAAACTTATGAGGAATCTTAGATTTAAAAAGACAAATTTTTATGAATTTCTAACTCGAAATAATTTGCAAATTTTCACGTATTTTGTCAATATTTGGAATTTAAATGCTTATAACAAAAAACTGTGACTAAGGATTTTTAATATTTTTCATCTGTCTTTGAAACAATATATTAGGAGCCTTCTATTAAATGTTTAAGCTTTTATACCCAACAAATAAAATTTTATTGATACTTTAGAAAAAAAAACTAAAAAAAATGGAAACTAAAAATGTCCGTAAAAAGCTCAAAATAACTCAAAATATTTTGAAAATTTCATCGTGTATAGATAGTGCAAATATAAACAACCAGAGAAAATTTCATGTATATATCATTTGTTTTAGAGTTACACCAAAAACCAAAATCGATTTTGTGGAAAACCGATTTTGAGTAAAAATTCCTGTTTTTCCTTAATTTTTCTTTGTTTTTCACGGTGCTTTTGAAAAGTACTGGAAAAATTTTGCTTTTGACCCCCCCAAAGTACCAACTAGATTCACTTTCCTATCAGTAAAGATACTGTTGAAGAAAATCCAAGCACTTTTACTGTCCTAAAAGATGATGACAGACAAAAAAAAAAAAAATGAATTCGTGAATTCGTAAACAGTTGTCAATATAAGTAATGAAAAGAAAAATTCCGAACCAGTAAACCATGATAGTTTATAAATGATTGGTGAAATACTGAAATAAACTGAGGATGCTAGTTAGGGTGCACCCCCAAGCACCCCCTTATGTGCGCCTATGACTGCAAGTGCAGCGATATTTGACATGGTCATATAGATATCTGATATTATACTATATTAATATATATTATTAATTATTTATATAAGAAAAGTGCGTTATAACTTTTGAATATAATGAATTATTCGTATAGTGTTCGTTGTAGCAATAATACAGAAATACTATTAAAAATAAAAACAAATAAAATAAAAAAACGAATAATACATATTTCAAATCAATGATATGGTGCAAACGTCCAGGTGCATTTTTTCTACTCTGGTGTTAACCATCCAAGTTTTAGTTCATCAACATTGAGATGGAAAATATCCATATGGTCTATGGACATAATAATATTACGGTAGATGGACAGACGGTTGAACAGTACCTATGGTAGGTACAGTGTTCGGAACGTACACTAAAAAAAAAACACGTTCACGTTATTTGAAAATTATTCATTTCATCATTCGTTTAAATTAATTTAATTTTTTTTTTATGTACGCTTTAAATACGAATACAAAATCGTGGAATTCATAATATTATTGTTGTTTTATGTCCAGGCTTGCCCACTGGAATTTAATGTATTTTATTTTTAAAATTCGTAATATATTATACCTATATCATAATAGTATTATCAATTAATATTTATTAAATAATAAATACATTTGGACGTCTTAAAAATCGTTCAAATTCATTAAATATATAAACGTCGTTCAAGTTCACCCGTTCAGCGTTCTATTTGAAAAAGATGAGTGAAGTTCACGTATCGTTCCCTAAATATTAACGACGTTCTTTCCAAACACTGCTAGTTGCTATGATACCTAAGAATACTAACTACTAAGAATGTACCTATTGTAGTGTCAAAACCCCACGATGTAGATACGACTATTGTCTGTGAGGTTATGCCCTGTACTCTGTAGCACGATGTCCCTACTCCCTCAGGGTACCTATAGTACCATATAGACATATAGTACCTACTGACCACTGTCTACCTTATAATCATGAAGTCTAGAATTACTATACTCTTCATGCTTATAACATTATATTATTATGGCATAGTCTATATTCGTTATTATTTATACCAATAGATGGCGCAGCTTATTACGTAAACGCAGAGTCCGTATTTATTTTCTAAGCCCGTCGTGATAATAACTATAAGTACTGATTGATATTTGATAAGCGCCATGTGCAGACTGCTGCAGAGGAGTGTCCAGTGCCCATGACTGAACCCACCAACTTAGATCGTAATATTATTTTATTATTATTATCTCTAATGATGGTCACACGCTCAGACGCTCTAAATTGATATGACAAACATAAAATAGAAATCTTGTTTTTTGAAATTTTGAATCTCAAGCAATCCTTGTACAATTGTCCTAGTCGGCACTGTGGCAAAACAAATTACAAACTAGCGTGCTACAAATATATTATATTTTAAATTGAATAATCAAAATATTAAGCAATTTTATTTATTCATCTTTAAAAAATGAATTCAACTCGTGAGATCATAACATTGCAATTTGGTCATTATTCTAATTTTATTGGCACGCACTTCTGGAATTTACAGGTTTCTTTTCTCTGCACTTACATATTATTATTAGTTAAATTAAATTATTAAATTATTAAATCATCTATTTTATAGGAATCAAGTTTTACTTATGAAGAAAACAATAAGCCATTGGAAATATGTCATGATGTCTTGTATAGGGAAGGTGTAAATTTGAAGGTGGGTAAATATAGAACAATTTGTCCTAATATTTTTTACTTACATAATTTATACTCGGGTAATACCTATCTTCTTAAAAAAATAATAAAATGCCAAAAATTTTCTTCATAGTGAGTACTATAAAAATAAGGTAGATAAAGTAATATGTAATAAGTATACTACAAAGTCAAATATTATGATTAGCATACACAATAATTGTAATAACTATACTTATTGGATCTCAGAGTAATTTCTTTGAACCGTATTTTTTTTAAATAATAGTTAATAAATAATTATGATAATAATGTTTTCTTAGTAATAAGTATAATACATTTACTGTTCTAAACTTCTAACATAAGTTGTATGATTATCAATTACAGATGTATACTGTCAATTTTAATTTTTATATTGTCATCTATACGTGGAAAAATTCTGAGTTCTAAATAAAAAATTTAAATTAAAATCAATAATCTTCAATTATGTATTGTCTTTAATCGTGCTCCCAGAAAAACAATATCAATATAAGTTGTAAACTAATGAAGCAATCAGTTGGTCGCCAAATATTCTAATGATATGACTTATCTTTTATTATTATTATTTTTTTGATTTATATTATATTTTTATTCAATCTGTTACAAAAAAAAAGAACAACAATAAAAACGATTGATGGTTTATAGGTTAAAAATAAATAAAAATAAAATGGCAGATTAGTCAGACTGTAGAGGCCTCCCAGCGGTGGTACTACGACATGAGTAAAATCTTTTATTATTATTTATTTTATTTTAATAGCTACCTATATAGCTATATATTCAAAAAAATTCACCTACTATATATTATATATATATATATATATATTGTATTTCTATTAATTTAAAAATTAGAAATTAAATGAAGATTTTTAGAAAAAACTAGCTAAATACTTAATTGATTTTAATTTAAAAAATTTAAAAATAAAAATAATAACTACAACTTTATGATGGACTAAATGAGACGTCATGTTATTTAGTTTTAAATAATTGTGGCTACAAAATTAACCATTTTCACAATGTTCCAATTCCAATTATATTATTTAATAGAATCTTGGAAAACCAAAGTTAATAATTTTTACACCAATAGAATAAAAAAAAATTGAGGTAGATATATTTAGTTAATTTATACTCGGTTAAACCTATATTATGTATCACAAACGCACAATATCAACTTTGTGTAATTATAGTATTATGTAATAGGACGAAGCTTCGTTTATAATAATAATGAATAAATATATTTTATTTTTAATAAGGTACTTGAGTATATTTAATGTATCATCTATTGTTATATAATATATTACTAAAAAATAATTTGAAATTATAAAACACTTACTGAATAACCCAAAATTGTACTTAGCTACTAAAATATTTTATTACATTATTACTAAATAAATTTGATACCTATTATTTATTAAATATTAGACATTTGAGAAAAAATATTGTCATAAATATTTCTTAAATTTATGATAATGATTATTAATTAAAATTGTAAAATAGGGTGAGGTAACCTATACTCCTCGTATGCTGTGTGTTGATCTTAAGAACAGTTTTTATCAATTGCCAGATATACATAGAGGCTTATATGATCTAAATTGTAGCAATATAGATGAAGAAATATCGAATTCTTCAACTAAAATTCAAACTATTCAAGAAGAAAAAATTCCTAGCAATGAATTTTTTTCAGACTTAGTCAAACAAGAACTACTTATAGGTAAGTTTTAACTTATGTTTATGATAGTTATTTTTAGCATAATATTGGTCTTTCTACATCAGGTAGATTTTTTGTTTGTTTTGTTATTTTATTGAATGAGGTTGGGATGCCTCAAATTATGTGCAAAATAAAATAAAAAATATTTTGTATTCTATATTTCAGATGATGATAGTGAGAAAATAAATATAGCTGAGAAAGTATACAATTTAGATAACGATGTTAAAATTTGGTCAGATTTTTTAAAAGCTCGTTTTCATCCAAGAACTATCACATCGATTGATGAGTATAAACACAATGATTCAAATAATGTGTTTAATAACTTTGCTCAAGGACTTGGATTATGGGATTCATATAAAATGAAAGAAACTTGGACTGATAATTTAAGATTATATGCAGAAGAATGTGATTATTTACAGGTACATTAATTATGGGCTTTGGGCAATGTCTTACAATTAATTTTTAAAAGTAATACTCTGTAGCATTAATTATTTAGACATTTATTGCAATAGTGCAATAGTGGCTTATAATGATTTCCAATGTTGTGTTCAAAAATTGAAAATTGTTCTGCTCGTTTTATATTTTTTTAATAATATAGCTTTATTTTTATATTTATGAATTAGGGATTCCATATTTCAATGGATTCATTAAATGGTTTTGGTGGTTTAGCTTGTAAGGCATTAGAATACTTAGAAGACGAGTACTCTAACAAAACTGTTATTGCTATGCCTGTACTGTCAGATAATTATATTCTTGAAGATGAAAATTCTGAGTTACAAGCAGTTAATACCTCATTATTATTTTCTTCGCTATTCGAACATTCAACTATGTTTGTGCCATTAACTACATCGTCTGGTGGATGGATAAAGAGCCAAAGTCATCTTAATTTGGATTACTTATCTTACAAAGTAAAGTATAACTCTAATACTTTAAACACACTTCTTAATGATTTATCTTATAATGCTTTTATTAATTTACAATTTACATTTTAGAACAATTTAGATTATCATTCCAGTGCTATTTTAGCATCAGCTATAGACACATTTACTTTGGGCTATAGAAGTCGTTTTGGCAACGATAGTATGCAAAATATGTGTACCCGGTTGACCCCTTTGGGGCGAAAGGCTGTATCAGCTTCAATACAACTACCTCTTGGGTTTGAATCAAAGTCAAATTTACTTGATTACTTACAGAATTCAAAATTACCCCTATGGAAACCCATTTCACCTCAGTGTACTACAGAAATGTCGGTGGCCCAAACAATTGTTTTAAGAGGCATAACAGAAAACATGCTGTACTCGAAGTTAGTATTTATTGATTAACAAGTTATCAAATTGTATAATAATATGGTTAGTAAATAGTTTCTATTATTATATCTATATTTTTTTTTAATTTCAGTAATCTCATTAGAGATTCAAAAAATCCATCTCATCATTGTACATCACCTAGCGATTTACTCAAATTATTTCTATCTTTTTGTGATCACGTGCGAATGACAGAAGTTCATTCATTTGATTCTTCTTTAGAAACTGTAGCCCCGTTTCCTAACATATTTTCTCAATCTATTAACCAGCATGGATTTGTAGAATCATCATCTAGATTATCTACTTCTGGTAACTACAGATTTTGTGTATGGCATAATAACATATAACATTGACAATATTAATATTTTGTATTTTATTAATTTTCAAATTAGTGGTCTCAAAATGTGCAGCTATTAGTGGTTTACATAACAGTAATTCAATGAGAGATATGTTTATAGCATTGAAGAATGATTCTAGTAAAGTAAAGGGTTCAAAATTGAGTCACATGTTCAACTATGAGATTGATGTAATGGATTATAAAGAAACTCTCGAAAATCTTCTTGTTTTGAGTGATAACTATTTAATAAACGACTGTTTATAACTTGAACGTGTATTATTAATTAGTTTCTCTAAAGATTATATGTTAAAATATTAATATTTAAAATAAATAAATACATTTTTACATCTTTAGACGATATTAATATTATTTTTGTATATATATTATTTATTATGTGCTAAATTAACTATTACGTATACAACAAAATATGCCTTAAGTTTCTCAAGGCAATTCACGTTCATATTATGGTGTGAGTGTGAGTGCGTGTGCGTGTGCGCGCGCGTATGGACAATATAAAATAAACATATTATGTTTGTCGTGTATTATCGTTTGCATTAGTTGGAAATCTACTGTATTACACATAAGTTCAAATGATCAATTTGTTGAAACAATTACCAAATTCAACATTCTTTAATTGATACCAACATTAAATAAATGGTCTTTTTCTTTTAATTGCATATTATACCTAACGATTTTATTTAAAATATTTTTTTAAACAACTTTGAAATCATGGAAACTTGGGAAAATTGGAAAATTGTGTCGTTACTTGTTTGTGTATTTGCTATGGTTAGAGAAATACGACCAATTGAGCCATTTTTCACGTCATACCTCAAAAGTATGAATTTCACATTAAACCAGGTATTTACTTTGAATTGTATTTTTTAATCATATATTATTATTTCAAAAGTATTATTCAAAATATTTCAAGTTTTTGTGTCAAATAAATATAATATAAGTAGTAAGTAGGCACTATGTTTTATACTTGTATGAGTAAAAATATAAATAATACGACTGTAATGGAAATTAATTACTGTACATGTATAAGGTAACTACCTACTAACCTGCCTTATATTTAGTAATATTATTTTAGATAACGATTGTTGAAATAAAATAGGAATAACGTAATTTTTACTTTATACGTAATTTTTCCCGCGTAAATTTTTCAGGTGAAATCATTTTCCTGATTTTGAATTCTTGTGTACTATTTTGAATTTTCCCAGATATTATTATCTTCATTTATATTTTCATAAATTTACAATACCTGAGAATAATTTTGCTCCAAAAATTTTCCTAAAATATACTTTCCCGAAATTGATTTTACTGATAATTATTTGCCGGGTAATATTTATCTTCGTCATAAAACTATTCGTGACAAAATATTTTCCTGAATTTAATTGTTCCCGACGATAATATTACTCTCCTGCCGAATAAAATCTAAACTTAATTATAAAACTTATTTAATAAAAAAAATAATTAAAAAGCATTAATCCGTATTTTATCATTGTAATTTTGACACAGATCAACGAAGAAATATATGCAGTGGGGACTTACTCGTGTCTAGTATTAGCTGTTATAATATTCTTAGTTACAGATTATTTTCGGTACAAACCGTTGATCATTGCTGATGGAATTGCTGGAATTTTCACATATGCGTTACTACTAGGAACACCAAGTTTATTCAGAGTTCAAGTGAGCATTTAAATGACTCCTGTAGAGCTTAATGTATACCTATATAGGTACTAATAATATTAATAATAAATTCTAAGCATAATAAATATAATATTTTTTAATTAAAATACCATCACAGATGGAACAAATGTTCTTTGGATTTTTTTATTCATCAGAAGTTGCGTTCACTACGTATTTGTATGCCAAGGTCGACGACAAACAATATTATCAAAAAATCACCAGTCTAGTGAAAGCATCTATGTTATTCGGCAGATTCCTGTCTGGATTAATTGCGCAAACTGTTGTTTCGACACACTTATTGAACGAAGTTTATCTACTATACATCAGTATATTTAGTATGTCTCATAAAATAAATACCTATATTAATACTTATGCTACATTACAACTGTTTACTTTAATTGAATGGCCAATAAGATAAAAAAAAACACTGCAATTTTTTATTACTGAACTTCCGATAAGCCCATTACAGCTTGACAATTATTTTAAGAGTATAACAAACGTTGAAATATATAATACATATTTTGATTAACACTAAAATAATACACCTTAAATAAAAATAAATAATGTAATGTTATTATGCGCATCACTAGGAGGACTTAATGACTGTAACCCTATCTTTAACCATTTTTGCATAAAAACTATTATCAAGTTTTAATTTTTAATTTTAATTTGCCTTTTTTCAGACTGATAGCACTATAGCAGTCTTTATTTTTGTAGTTCTTGGCCATTAGGCATTAGCAATATATAATTTTAATAACCTTGATTTTTGTTTGATTCGTAGGTACTTCATTTGTAACACTATGGTCATTAGTTCTGCCTAAAGTAGAACACAGTTTATACTTTCATAGAAATAAGGAATTAACAGTAAACATTAAACGACATCAATCTAATGGGGTTGCGATTGATGATAATGTATCAGTAAGTCATTTAGAATAAAGTTCTTGTACCTACTTATAAAATAATGTATTAGTCATCCTAAACTTTATGATTTATACCTAACCTTTTAGATTCTGAGCGGAGCGATGAATGTATTGGTTTTACAATGATGTATGTTTTTATATTTTTATTTATATTTTTATATTTTTATATTTTTATATTTTTGTGTCTGTCATCACGTTTTGGGACAGTAAAAGTGCTTCGATTTTCTTCAATAGTACCTTTTCTGATAGGAAAGTGAATCTAGTTGATACTTTGGGGGTAAAAGTAAACATTTTCCAGTAGTTTTCACAAGCGCCGGGAAAAACAACATAAAAATTAAGGAAAAACGGGAATTTTTACGCAAAATCGATTTTCCAAAAAATCGAATTTGGTTTTTGGTGTAACTTTAAAACAAATGACCGTAGATACATGAAATTTTCACTGGTTGTTTATATTTGCATTTTCTATACACGATAACATTTTCAAAATATTTTGATTTATTTTGAACTGTTTAGGGACATTTTCATTTTTCATTTTTTTTTAGTTTTTTTTCTAGAAATATCAATAAAATTTTATTTGTTGGTTCCGAAAGCTTGAAAATTTAATAGAAGGCTCCTAATATGTTGTTTCAAAGGCAGATGAAAAATATTAAAAATCCTTAGTCACAATTTTTTTTTATAAGCATTTAAAGTTCAAAAATTGACAAAATATGGAAAAATCACGAAAATTAGCAAATTATTTTGAGTTAAGAATTCGTAAAAATTTTTCTTTTTAAATCTAAGATTTGAAAATGAAACACAAGATTCCTTATAAGATTATCTACCTTTATCAATAAAAAAATCTCTACCGGACAGTCAAGTTAAATTTTTATGAGCGTTTGAAATTCAAATTTTTACAACATTGGATTTTCACTCGATTTCTCATGTAGCGATTTCCTTATTTTGTTGTAATTCAAAAACGAATAACTGTAGATACATGAAAATTTCACTGAATGTTTATATTAGCATTTCATATACACCATACAATTTTGAAAATATTTTGACTCTTTTTGAGCTGTTTATGGACATTTACAGCTTTCAATTTTTTTTAGTTTTTTTTTCTATAAATATCAATAAAGTTTTATCTGTTGGGCCAAAAAGTGTAAAAATTTAATACAAGGCTCCTGATATATTGTTACAATATCAGTTGAAAAATATTAAAAATACATAGGCACGATTTTTTTTTATAAGCATTTAAAGTTGGAATTTTGACAAAATTTATCAAAATCTCGAAAATAATCAATCGTTGGAATTAAAAAATTATAAAATGTTCAGTTTTTATAACTAAGAGTTGAAAATTTAAAACAAAGATTCTCTTAAATAATTCATACTGTAACCAAAAAATCTAAAAAATATATAAACACACTTATTTTTTACAGACATTTTAATTTCAAATTTGGACGAAATTACATATTAAAAAACCTAGAATAACTATTTTAGTTATTTTGTTGTGATTGAATAATATTATTCGTGGGTACTTGAAACTTCTAAAGTGTACTATTATATATCTATGATAGTATCACGGTTTTTGTTGATGTATAACGCGTTATAAGTATCTAATGGATATTGTGATATGATTAATTTGGAATTTATTATAGGTACCTATTATAGGTCAATTTTTTGTTTAATACCATAGATATGTATATAATATGCCTTATACATAGACTGACATACCATCACCGCTCAGAATCGTTTTTCTTATACAATGATATTATATCATTGAATTCAAATTTAATACCATCCATTATACAGTGACCCACTTGTAACCTACTGTACAGCAGAGCGACACCCACTTGCCCACCTTTTTTTTCCTTGTGTTTTCACTAAAAAGTAAAAGGGAACCGGGCTGTTTGCACATTGCTTGGCTCATTTATACCTAACCTAACCCAAAAGCACAAATCGTATTATTATTTAGATTGTATGAAATATACAATGTGTATTGTTAATTGAATATTTAATTCTATAAAGTAGGAACAATGTTGAAACTATAATATAGAGCTGAAATTTATAGGGTGCTCTAAAATGTTGCAATATTATTAGTGTCGTATTTACTATTTTCCAATATTAAAATTTAATTTGTATGATATGCGGGCCCCAATTCTTTTAATTATCTTATATTCTTATCTATAGCTCATACATTCATACGCTATAATTGAAAATTAGGTCTAAATTTTCATTATTTTTAAGAATCCATTAATTGCCCTATTTCTATGGCCTGCTGAAACCTGAAAACTAAATGAACCTTGCACACTCAAAAAAAAAAAAATGAAAGACGACTTTGGCCATGGCCAATCGATGTCTCGATATAAGTCCTATTGCTGTTTTCATTTGGAAATATATAAATATTGGTGATTGGTATAGGTATAGGGGAAAATAGGGGGGGCTTTAAGGGTTAAGCCCCCCCAAATGACCATAGCCTCCCAAACATTTCCTACATTTTGTTATAAGCTTATTCAATATTATCAAAGTAAGACTTTAGCCCCCCCCCCCGCCTAAATCCCAATCGCTATTTTCCTCTTATGGGTATAGGTACAATAATATGTCAATACTAATACTACCAGTTTTATATTATTAAATAAGCAAAGTTCTGATTTTCTGAAGTAGGGATTTCAGTCCCTTTCGCGGAAGCATTGCGAAAGCAGTCCCCTCGGCGTCGTCGGTTTCAAACTGGAAAAAAAAAAGGGATTTCAGTCCCCTAATTTGTTTATTTCTCCAGGGAATTAGCAGAAATAGACAATAGTACATAAATATAGGTAGGGGAGACCGGGTCTAGTTGTAACACTTTTAATGTTTGTAGCTGTATCTTATAAAATAATAATCTCTGTCACTTCTTTATTACACCAATAGATAGAGAATGTTGTCCTGTTTCATAATATGCTTTGTAGGTCCTTAGTCATAAACACATCAATTAATATAAAGTTTAATATCATAATATTTTTTTGTTACATTTTACCCCAGCACCGGGGTAAGTTGTAACATGGTGTGGGGTAAGTTGTAACACACACAAATATATTGTTTAATTTATATGTATATTTCCAAAAAACAAATAAAATACTACAAAATAGAACATAATAATAATAATATAAATTATATTCATGTAATAAAATAACTATTGCAAAGAAAAAAGTAACAATAACTCTATAAACTATAATGGTATTATTATTATGCATAATATAATATATACCTGCCTATATTATACTTGCCAGTATTTCCCTAGGTATATATCTGTTTACCTATAGGTATGAGTGCTAAGTGCTGTGTATAGGTACTATTCAAGTGTAATATAATTACATTGTGAATTTGTTTAAAATAAATACTATGTAAAAATGTGTTACAACTAGCCCCAAACTGTTTGTTACATTGTACCCCAACATGACTTTTCTTATATTTTTTGTAATTAAAAAGGTAATAAAATAATTATGCTAATGAGTGATGTTGCAATTAAATCTCCACAACATTTGGATTAAAGTCTAACTGAAATTCGTGATTAAATTTTAAAACGTAGATAACAAACTAAAACCTAAGATAACAAAATATTTTCACTATTTACAGATAAAAATAGTTTTATGATTGTTGTCGCTATAAAAATTACAGCATGAATCTGATAGCAACAAAACATATGATAATCTTTATTTATGAATCTAACGCCATCTGTTAGAATTCTATAAAAACAATCTACAAATATTTTACGCCTATGTTACATCTTACCCCGTGTTACAACTAGACCCGGTCTCCCCTACTAGGTATGTGTACTTAAATTATCTGTACACTTAGATACCTAATAATAAGACATACTTACATTATACATTTATACCATATGGAATATTATGTCAAATTTACAAAGATACGTTAAACATGATTCAATCTTCAACACAATTTATTTATAGAATGAAGTTCCTAAAACTTCAAAAGTTACTAAATTCAAAGAAGTCAAGCAGATGATTTTTGATGACTTTCAATCGGCATATAAAAATACTTACGTAGTGAAAAAATGTGTTTGGTGGATAGTTGCTGTTGTTGGTTATATTATAGTAAGTGTGTGTGTTGTACTATTATTACAATCCTTTATACTGTATAATTTCTTGTTATCAGGTAGCAACGTATATTCAAGTTGTATGGGAGGACGTGAACAAAAATAAAAGAGAACTAATGAATGGCGCCGTCGAATCTATACACACTCTTTGTGGTATCTTACCTATTTTTAATATTATACAAAAGTAATCAAAATAAGCCATAACTAAACTATATAATTGTATAATAGGAGCTGCAGGTGCATATGCAGTTGGTCACTTGGACTATGATTGGAAAAAATTTGGTGATATTATATTTACAGTTGGAACCTTTGTTTTGGCTTTATTATTATTCGTTATATATTACTGCGATTCATTATGGATATTATACCTGTTATACATAATGTTCGGTACTTGTTACCAAATATTGTTAACTATCACTACGTATGACACTATAATATGACTGGTAATTTTTCAGGAATGTGCAAGTACCGAAGTATGAACGTATTTAACATTTTAGAAACGTCTACCTATTTAATATTTAATCGCTACTTACACCTATACTTAATGTTAACATGAAAACAGTTAATACAATTAATTTGTTTTATTAATACAATTCAATAGAATAGCCATTTATTAAATTTCAGTTTTATAAACAAGATGATTCGCCAAGCATGCTCATCCCCATTTTCTATTTGATTAAAAATTTATTCTAATTCTGAATTTTTTAATTTTTAAACATATTGGTACTTAAAGATTATAATTTTAAAATCTTGAGATTTTTTGTATTACCTACTTATGGAGTGTCCTTTACTGCTGTGGCTCTACATATTTCTGTTTTTAGCATTATAAAATGTTAATATAGTAATATACTAAGAATAAAAATATAAACATTTTAATAACTGAAAAACTTATCGTTCGAATTTTGATTTTGATACTGTAAAATTTTCAGAAAAACTATCCACTAAATACTTTAGTAAGGGGAGTTATTATTTGAAAATATAGAAGTTTGTAACTTCGCAGCCTAAATGACACTATGCAAAACTTTTCAACAATTTAATAATATGACCTTTAAGTAAATGTGTTTAAATATTCCAAAAGTCAGAGGTACCTAGGCAGTGGTAAACTATCCCGATTTTCGAAACTGGTAACTCTCCCGGGTCAATATACTCTCTTTCGAGTTGTTTTAAAATTATATCGCAAACAATTATAGACTATAAACAGACTTAAAAAAAGACACTTCAAGTTTTTTTTAAAACTGTATGTTTATATAATTATAAATAAAATAAAATTAAACTGTAATTTAATTTTAAATTGATTTAAATTATTATTTTTATTGTTTAGGTACTATTATTCAAATATATATTAAATTTAAAAAAAAATTGTAATTCAAGGACTGTCGCGGACATCGTAATAAATCAAGCATAATTTTATTTTGTTTTATTTCGCGTAAATAATAATATGAAAATAATGCAACGACGGCGGCGGGCGAAGCTCGGACCGCGGATAACAAACCGGTTTTGACCTGCCGGCGGCTAGCGCGCCTGGATGATAGTAGGGAACAAACGCTGCTGCTAGAAACGACAGCAGCACATGACGGCCGTAAATAAATTTTTTTTACTGTAAAACATGCCAATTTCGTTCCATTAATACGGCTTACAAAATGGTTTTAGAGCAAAATACCTTAATTAAAAATTGTAGAGAAGAGTTTTATCGGGTGACGTAAGAGACTCGATTTTCGATATTTCATTCTCAAAATCGATAAAATCGCTTTGCGTTTTCACTTTTTTACTTGTAAATAATTGGTATAAAAATTAAAATATCAAAAATCGGGTCTCTTACGTCACCCGATATAACTCTCCTCTACAACTTTTAATTAGGTATTTTTCTCTAAAACCATTCAGTAAGCCGTGTTATTGGATCAAAATTGGCATGATTTGTACGGTATTTTTGCCCGTGTGGCGTCCTCTTAATAATATGTTCATATTATTATAATCATTAAATTTATTATAATGTATAAACAAAGTTATTACAAGCTCGGGATAGTTTACATGTACCCGTCAGGTAGTACTGGAGTAGGGACGTAGGGTAGTAGACCCATAGGCTCATTTAGGGTTACAATTCTGGGGGGGGACTACAGCCCATCTAATAAACCTATTAATTTAAAAAAAACCATAGACAGCTTATATTTAAATCAATAATAGATATTCGTTGGCGGGGGGGGCTTAATCGTAGTCAGAGGGGGCTAAGCCCTCCTAGCCTCCCCTATAGATGTACCACTGAGTAGACTATGTGGAGTTTACTCTTAACCTTTACCATTGGGAGTTTAGAGGTCATTAAAATCAGGAGAGTTTAAAATCGTTCATGCCACTGCACTCTGCCCACTGATAACGCATTTACGCATTTTCCTAGAAATAAGTTGCTTGTAGTTTTCGATACAATATAATATTACCTATATTCACTGATGACTTATAGGTAACCACTGTACTAATGTACTATTGTTTGGAAATAAAATGTTTAATTTAAGATAATTTTCTAACATATTACGCAATAATTAAGTACTTAAATACTTAAATACCTATTTTATTACTACCCACTTATAAATTATAATAATACAATCGTGAGTATATAAATTATACTAACTACATTATTTCTAACTGCTTGTAATTTAAATTAGGTAAAAATAATTTTAACCATTTATTATTTTTTAATTACCTAGCTTTTATTATTTACAATGTACCTAATTTTGTTAAAAATCAGACTTATCTTTTCGTTGTAAATTATATATTTATATGAATTGTGAACAGCTTATAAGTTATAACGTACCTAGGTACTTACTATATAGTTAGTTACTGTTTACTCTTTAATAGTTTAGACGTTTAGTTATATGTAGGTAGGTAATAATACAATGTATTAGAAATTATAATTACCTAATACAGTAATACCTATAGTAACGTACCTAACAATTAACAACTAACAAAATATTCGTCCTTCGTAAATGTTGTTGACAAAGTTATCAACGATTAACGTTGTCGATATAAGATAGGTACCATAAAATTATTGACGATATTGTTTCTTTGGACTTATTAGTTGTTAGTCTATAATATATACAATCTAAAGGTATTATTATAATCTATTATTTTATTGCCATTTAATTTATTTAATTTTAAATATTGTATAGGTACCCTGTTTAAATGTTTAATATTTATCAAGTTGTATAGATGTGTTACTCAATTACTGTGTTGACGAATTTAACATTTATTACATTTGATTAGTTATTACTTATTATAGTTGCCATTTTTTATACTAGAAACCTATTATACTAGAAACCTACCTATTAACTTAAATTAGGTACCTATTAGCTATATTTGGTTATAAATTATACACACCGATTTATTCAACTTTTTTTTGTTATTTAGGATTTGGGAAAAATCATTTTTCATACATAATAAAATAAAATAAGTTAGTAATGTAAAATTATATGTATAAAATATTATTTATTTAATGGTTAGTACTATACTATACTACTATACATTATACTATACTATTACAAGAATAATGTCAAACTGTTTAAGAGTTATCAATTTATAATTTTATATTACACTACTTTAGATTTTTATGGGTTTAGCTGGTTTAGGAAACTAAGTTCCTAGTTCCTGCAGTTTGTAAAAACATGAGTAAATTATTGATTATAGTTTTTGATAGCCTGTAATTGGTGATTTGATGTTAATTAAATTTTCTCTAATTTTGGAAATCTAAAGTATACAATTTAAATTTGTTATGGAAGTTAGATTTGTAGCACTGATTAAATATACATATATTTTTAATATACATATATCATCGTTTCAAATATTTCAATAATTCAATCAAAAGGTACCGTCTTAAAATTTAAAGAATGTTTTTATAAAGTAAAATTAAAAACTGATTACTTGCACACTCTTTATAATTTATATAATATATTATCCTGTAGGTGTCCTAACATGTTAATCCCCGTCAATTGCTTTATTGTTATTAATATTTTTTGAAAATATGTAGGTAGTTAACAAGAGGTGCTTTGGTACCATAAAAATGCTACCTACCTACTCCGTCTAGCGAGAGAAAACGAGGCTGCACGACAAATCGGTTCTTTTGCGCATCTCCACTCGACACGTCTTCCATAATGGAATTTGTCTCTGTGGCAGTGTGTACTCGCGAAGGGATGCTGAGAATAAGCGTGTTGCGTGTTGTCTCGTTGAACAGAGTGTACACTGTACATATTAATATATTTCAAAGAATATACCTAGCTATATTTTATTTAAAAAATTGAATCTTAAAGAAATTAGTTAAAATTAAGTTATTGAAATATGACGGGGGTTAAGAGTTAAGACACGCGAAACACATCGTATTTAATCTAATTTTATGTATATTATTTATTTATTTTAGCTCTGAAGTTGCGAAGCACATAAAACCCGACAGTTATGGATTAATATTTGGTTTTAATTTGTTTATGTCATTATTGATAATCTCAATATTTACATTATTATTTATCCAAGGCCTTGTTGTTGTTATAGGGACAAAAAATCAGGTAAATTATTTTTTACAATATTACCTAGGGAATATGAATATATTATGATTTACAAGCATTTAATACTCTAGTTAAAAAACCAAGTAACATTGTTTTTTACAATAGTTTTTTTTTTTAAATTGAATAATAGGTATATAAGGTAATTGGTAAATAGAAAACATTAAGTATGTATCTTTATAACAATACTATTCGTAACTTCGATAAAAAAATAAACCTGTTCTATGTATTTATGTACATAAAAGAACATTTTTGATTTTAATGGATGTATTAGTTAAAATGTTGTGCTGTTTCATTTCAAATAAAGGATTTATAAAATAATCAGTCTTCTTTAAAGCTTATAAATCTACTACCCGCTTTTTAGCTTAGATAATACTCAATACTGCACCGAGCTTTGTCTGTTTAATTTAATATTTGTTTTACCCATCAAAATTATAATATATTTTATTATTATGTGTCTAATGCCTTATGGTTATGCCTAATCAATAAGACAATACAATTATTTTTCTTATAGATATTAACTGTTTCTCTGATGTTTGCTTCGATGTCTGCATTACTATTTGTTGCGGCTGTTAGAAAATGGAAGAAATAAATTCACTAATTCTGTGGACAATTGAAGAATGCTTTAACCAAAAATTTGTACTTATTAATTTACATTTAATTCATCAAATTGTTTGAGGACCATAATCATCATATTATGTACCTTCTATGTTATCAAGGTATCAAAGTTTAAATTTAAACTAATATTTTAAAAGACAGTGTATATTTGTAAAATAATAAGAATGATGCTTGTATGGACTTACAGGGCTGCCACTAAGTCACTTTTTCAACAAAAAGTATGAGAAGTTAGAAAAATCAGTTTAAATTTCCCAACAGAATTAATTGACAAAAATCTTAAGTAACTATGCTCATTATAAGTAAATAGTTTTATTTAAAATGGATTTTTGGATGCTAATAAATGTTTTTATTTTATTTAAATATTCAAGCTTGTATAATTAACTTGTATCCTGTATTACCTATAAATCATTTATTGTACATAATAAAAATTTAAAAAATACAAAATGTGTGTTTAAATTATCCTTAGAAATTAATGTGATATTTTATTAAATATTATTGACTATAGTGTATGTGAAAATTAGAAATATTTAATATTACATAAAAGGATGTCAGTGCACTATCTGTTTACACTCTCAAACCTAAGCACAACATTTTTTTTTTTTTAGTACAATATAAAACCAATCTTATGCAGTTAACCTTAATATCTGAGTGATTTGACCTATTAACAAATTTAAAATTTGAAGTTAGGACTGAAACATTTTTAGTTCTTATAATTTTGCTTTTATTTTATTTTAATTAAATTTAAATTTTGTTGAATGTTATGAGTATGTAAAATATTACAGTTGAAAATGCTCAAGAGCCAGAAAAATTAAAATATTGTAAAAAAGTAAAAGCAAAAACAAATACAAATTCAAACACAGGTAGTATCCTTAACTGGAAATTTGATAATAAGTCTAATCAGTCTAATGAACACAGGATTTGTTATGTTCAGCGTGGGTTCAAGAAAAAACAAATAACTACTGACATTACCTTAATGACAGTTATCACCTATTCCGTTAATATAAATTAATTTCACTGTATAAAAGATGAAACCAAATCATACAGCTATTATCAGTGTTTATTTCTTTGGAATTTTACAAATATAATATTAGGAACCAAAGTAATAATAAACTTTATAACCTTGTATAAACTTTCAGTATGTCATTAAATTAGCAATTTAAATACAACACATTATGCAATACCATATCCAATATTAAAATATCTTCAACTAGTACTAATAAAAATTATGACCCATCATTAAAATTAGTACACCATTTTATTCTTTAGTTTTTATTAATTGCTTAAAAACCACTGTTTTTAGTGGTTAATTATCAAAAAAGAACTTAGTTATATTGTAAATTTGTTCACATATCTGAAATTCCATTACTTTAATTGATTAATAATTAGTCATTCGGCGCCTTGATTTTTTTATCCTGAAAAAAAATTAATATTAGTTCGAGAAAAGAAAATATTTCTTACTAATGCCATAATATTTAATATTAAACTCAAAACAATACCTTTTTGGTCCTTTTACAAAGCACCAGTCTACACTAATTTGCTGTCCCAAAATGTCGGTATTATTCAGTCCTTCACGTGCTCGAAAAGCTTCCTTATATGATTCATATTCAACTAATGCATAACCCTTTAAAAAGGAAATTTAAATATTGATACATTTTAAACTAAATAATAGTAATTAGTAATTACTTTTAAAAAACCGGTTCTACGGTCCAAATTTAAATGTAAGTTTTTAATTTTCCCAAACTCAGCAAATTTATCATGCAAATCATCTTCTTGGGCTTCTTCGTGTAAAGAAGAAATGAACAATATCCAGCCTTCAACCGCTGTAAAGAAATTTGAGGAATATTAATAATAAATCAACAATTTATAACTTATGTAAAATTACATCTTTGGGGTCCAGGTCCATCGTCATCAGCTTGATCGACTGAATCAAATTCCATGGCTTCATCTTTGATGTTGTCTCTTCTAGATTTGTCTTCAAAACCACGTCCTTTTCTTCTTCTAGCTTTTTCTTTAAGCTTAGAAACTCCCTCTAAAAATAATGAATTTAGTTGCATTCGCTTTTCACCTTTTAAACTATATAAATTTAGTTAAAATATAATTTTACTTAGGTATATGGTGTGGTAGCCCAATTGGGTTATATTAACTTTAAAGGTATTGGTTTTTATTATACATCAGGTAAACGTAACACTATCATTTAACATTTTAAATTAGTATATCTTTATGATACACTCAGATCAAGGTTCAGTTGGGCATAATATTTCAATAATTGTATGTTAATATTCTTAGATATATTGATAAAATTATGATTGTATTAAACTTCTAATAATCAATTAAAGCAAGAAATTAAAGAATTTAACCACATAGGTTAGGTCAGTTCAATATAACATAGGTATATACAATTTTTAAAAGTAATTTGATGGTTGTTACATAAACTTAATTCATATTATTATTAAATCGTGAGCATTTGATAAATAATATGAATGGATCTATTTATGTCTACCTAGATTCAAGAAGAATCGTTCATGGGTTATGCTGTTAATCACTATAGCTTTTTAAATATTTTTTTTTTTTTTAACACTATTTGATTTAAGTTTTTATTATAATATTACCTTCATCTTCCTCCACAAACTCTTCAGCATTTAAGTCTAAAACGTCAGCCATTATAAAACGCACCAATAACTGATGACTTGCACTAAAATATTTTAGTTAAATCTAATGAGTTCAGAGTGTTCGTACCTATAATACTCAAGAACATAAACAAATTACAAAATATTGTGTTTAGTGTTTATTATCTAAGCGAATTCTTTTTTTATTATCTATGATTACAACGGTGATAGATACAGGAATGGCCGAGCTTTCCCAAACTATTATTTCTCCAATGTACAATTCTTCTAATTTTGGAAATTGGAACAAAGTTACATTGGGATAATACCACGAATTAATATATATATATATATCTATAATAGCGTTTTCCATCTGATTGCACTAGTGCACACCACGATTAAAGATATACATTTTATATATATCTTTAATCGTGGTGCACACTGGTCGAAACCACGGTCTTAGAAGATTCTAAGACCGTGGCCGAAACCGTGAATTTTAGCGGTGTGAAAAATTATGTGATATGGCCAAAATTCACGGGGTTGACTATAGACATACACATAATATAAATTCATATTATGTCTATGGTGTCGACCAGTGTGCACTAGTGCAGTCAGATGGAAAACGTTATTAACTCGTGGATAATACATAGACGATAGACCATAGACATAAATATACGTCTATGCCGTATGGGATACAGGGCCCGGAAGCAATAGGGGTGTGGTTGATCGTCACCCCCCCCCCCCCCCCCAAATTTAATTTTTTATTTATTTAGAATTCAACGGGACTAGTCCTTTTACAAAATTGAAATTGGTAGATGGACCAATAATGTATAGAAACAATTAATTACAGAAAATAATAATTATTAAGTACAACACTAAGTAATATTGAAACGTATATAAATATATAAGTAGGTATACAAATAATTAAAAATATAAAATACATAAAAACAATGAAGAAATCACTGATTGACGAGGACTAATAATAAAATTATAAGGTTTCTTCTAAAAACATAATTAACTTAAATCTGAAAGTATCACGAGGAGTATTGAAAAAATCTAAGGAGATGGTGACTAAATTAGCAAGTTTCAGAGCTCTAACAAAGAATGAGTCATTACTTGTCTTGATTTGGATTTGAAGAATGGGATAGCAAAAAGATCATGATTTCTCGAGTGGAAGGAGGGAATACGGAAATTGACCTGAGCTAGAAGCTCAGTGCTTACAACATTATAGTTTAGCAAGTCGTATACGAACATGATATCAAATAGTTGACGTCTTAGTTGGCGGGAGTCTAAATTTACTAATTTTTGAGCTGGCATAATAGAATCTTTAGAAATGGGTATGTTCTTCATATGGGCAATTCTTTTTAAGAATTTAAATTTAATATTATCTAGATCATGAATACGACTGGAATACTGGATAACGATTGACTCCAAATTAGTGATGCATATTCAAGAACAGATCGTACAAGGGAACAATAAATTGTTTTTATTGTAGTAGGGTTATTAAATTGTTGTGTTCCTATTTATGAATCCTAACATTTTATAAGATCTGCTGAGCATATGCTCATGATTTAGTTTAAAGTATATATCTGAGCTAAAGAGAACACCCAGATCTTTTATTGAATAAGCTCTATTATTTAACACTATATTATCTAAAGAGTAATTGTAAACAATAGGATTTTTACAACGAATAAAAGAGACAACTTTACATTTCTCTATATTTAAAGGAAGAAAATTATTTTTTGTCCAAATTGAAAATTTAAGTATGTTATTTTGCAAATTGATTGAATCATTAATTGAATTGATTTGGGTATAAAATGTAGCATCATCAGCAAAAAGAAGAACTTTTACGTCGTTACTGAAAATTTGGGGCAAATCATTTATAAATAATAAAAAAAAAGAGGTCCTAAGTGAGAGCCTTGTGGTACACCAGATAACACTCGAAACTCTTTTGAAATTTGAAAGGGAATTTTTACTACTTGTGTTCGATCGTGCAGATATGAGGCAATCCATTTCCAAAACGATCCAGAAATACCGAAAAATTTTAATTTGTATAAAAGATTTTTTTCGTTATTATCAGTTGGTATTTTCTTAATAACAGAGAGCTGTCAGTAATATTATACGATTTGTTAATAACTGTTTTCCTAGATTTTTGTAGGCTATCATTATTATAATAAAAACGAGAACGGGTCCTCAGCAGTCAGCAGTACCTATTTTGATTTGTGAATTGGTAATTACAGAGGATGACATTATTAATAATTAACTATGTTATAAACATTTTTAAATATAAGACATAAGTGGAGATTTATTATTTAATCAATGACTATTGACTCCACAATAGTGTTAGTATACAAATTACAAATAAAGAACTCCTTGTTTTCCCACTGACTTCGACGCACTTGAAAATTTAAAAGTTAACTGATTTAGAAATCAAAATACTGCGATTGCTAAGGATCCATATAACACCAATAATAACTTTTTTTGCACCGTCGTCCATCGGTACGCTATCGCCTTAGATCATATACTTTGGAGTTTGGATGGAGCCACAGCGTTTGGTACTCTCCCTTTTTAAATTGGCCTATCTTTGAAGTTGGATCAAATTACACACAGAGTAAAAAATTTCATCAAGATCGGTCCAGTAGTTTCGGAATTCGGAGTTTATTCCGAACAAACATTGTGACATATAGATTTCTATATATATAAAGATATGTAATAATAATATATTATACCATTATATTAATTATTATATTTATAGTTTACACCTATATTTACTATTTAGTATTTCGCATTTTCGCACGAATTAAGATAATATTTCATCAAAGGTATTGATAATTCGTGGTATTTATTCTGTGCATTTCGTTATCTTGGTCTACGGTATCAAACTGACAACTGTCAACACGGTTTAAGATTAAGATTTACTTTTACATTTATTATGAAAACGGTTCCAAGACTATGACGGGATACGCGACGAGGGGTAGGCTTTTTTACCATTCCCTATTTCACGTATGCCACGCCCCCCTGGAGACCGTGTTCAAGGCCGCAATCGCCTGATTCGGCCAACGCACGGAGTGTCGTACCCCTGCTAAAAGATTTATTATCTATGGTTTTAATAATAATAATAAGTGGTGACGTGATTAGCAAAAGAGGTTGGCTATACTGTAAAGTGAAAATTGCATTGTCATGACATTTTCACTGTATTAACATTTTTATCATGATCTGCACTGTACTTTCAACCACCAATCACCATCACTTGTTCCATAACAAAGGTGACAATCTGTGTAACTTGGTGGTCAGACTGGTCAGTACTCAGTAGTCACTAATCATCATTAAAGTTTTTAACTGCGCAGTAGTAAAATATGAAGATACCGAATAGTAGGTAATTACGTCATTTGTAAAATTGTGTTACACTTTTTTGAGTCCAGACGGCAGACTGAACATTTCAGTCGACACTCGACACTCGACAGTCGTCATTCGTCAATCGTCAGTCCGCACCCGCAGTCTTTACTCATTCATCGTCGTCGAATATCGTGATTTCGGATTTCGAGTTTTGCTTTTCTGATAATAGACACACTGCTCTAGTACTCTGCCTGTTAGTTCTAGCGAGAACAAGGTCACTTGGATTACTATAATCTAACTTCATGCACCGTAAGTAGTATTGGGTCGCCTTTTTGTTTATGTGACACTGACACATAGTATTGTCACAGATTATATTAAACTGTATAATATTAACTATATAATTTGTGGTATTGGTTTGTCAATTTAACTTAATATCTTTCTTGTTTTAGCTATCAATCTGACATTTCCTGTATACCGTTTGTTAGAGGTTTAATTTCATTACATTGCAGTGTGCACTTGAATTCGTTCAATTGCTATAATGAATCCCAATCAGCCAAATACTGGAGCTCCTGGTACTATAAACAAATATATTTTTTTTAAGTAGGTATGACATAATTTAATGTATCTAATTTTGCTTTTCAGGTGTCCCAGGAAAGAAAAAGCAGAAAAAAGGTAAAAAAAAATCTCATTTAGGTACTTGACTATATTTAATCTAGAGTATGAATTGTTGAATAACCCATGTACCTACCTCTTGAACATAATAAATGTGATAAATGTATTATAAGTTATTACTCTAATTCAATAACAAAGTTATTTATATTATTAGAAACTATTTTACCGTTTTATTAAATCTACTTCAGTCATATGTAATGCTTTAATACATTTCCACTTTAGGTACTTTAACTTTGTGGGCGTTCTGACAATAATATACCTACTATATTTATTTGTAAATAGGCATTGTTTTTTATATTTTTATTAACTAAAACAGAATCATAACTACATTTTGTACTTTCTTTATTTTTAAAGGTGTTCAACAAGATAGCTCAAATACTAAAGCTGGACAAAGTCAAGAACCATCAAGTTCAGGTAGTTTATTTAATTGTCGTAATTGATGTAAACTTTTTTAAAAGACTGATTTACATTATTTTATGAGGTCTCCATCTGACCATCATCCAACAAAAACTATAATAAAATGCCTATAGGTACACCATATCTTAATAATTGTGGTATCTATGGTAATATGGGAACAAATGCACTTTACCACGCCCCTCACGAATTTCGATTTTTTTTTTTAAAAAGACGTGTTTTTCAACGCTGATTTCGAAACGGTTTGAATTTTTGTGCGGAAACCATTATTTTGGAAGTTATAGCCTTCCAAAGTTTGCGATTTTACGTTTATACGCATGCGCTCAACACCACTATGCATTACCGCCGCACGGAGCGTGTATAACCTATTTAAATTCTTTTTTCGGGGACAATAATTTTAAAGTTGAAATTCAATTTTTTTATTTTATTGTATATTGTACTTTTACACAATGTTAAATATTTAATAAACAATATTATCATCAGTTTCTTCATCTGTTTCTTCATCTGTTTCTTCATTATCATCTGTATCACTTGAGTTTTGCTCAACATTAATTGGAACATTTGCGTTGTACAAATGTCCAGCTAATTTGAAAAACTCTATTAAGGCGTCATTTTTATTTTTAATTTGTTTTAAAAACATGTGTTTAGCGAGATATCCTCCTATAAAATCTTTCTTCCTATGATATTGAGGTAGCGAAAATTTGGCATGTCTCCAAAGGCCTTCAATCGTATTTGTATGCTGCTGTGTTTCGGGATCTTTAAAATTAATACTATGATTAACCTTAAAATGCACATATCCCTCGTCATTCAAACAGTCGTATGCCTAATATATTTAAGTATTAAAAAATATTAAATTTATTAAATTTTAAAAAATATTAAATTTATTAAATTTTAAATAATTACCTTCCAACAGTCAGAAATGATCGTTGTCCCTGGTAAAATCCACTCTTTTATAATGTTGAGTAATGTCGTTTTGTCTCTTTTCTCCACTGGGACAAGAAAACATTTATTGGTCCCTCGCTCGACACCTCCAAATACCCACTGACCTTCAACTGCGTGCCCCCTATGGTATTTCCGCTTTCCAAATTTACTTTCGTCAATTTCCACTTCAACACCCACTCCACCGATTTTAACTTTATGAGCAACTAGTCCATCATACATAACTTCTCGACAGAAATTTGACCAATCAACAATAGTATGACGGCTAATTTCTAACTCACTCATAATGAATGACTGCGTGGTGTGTTGGAGGCACAAATAAGACAACGCAACTATCTTAAATATTGAAAGGTGTGACTTTTCGAAAAATGTATTTTTCCTCATCGATACCTGATAGTTACACTTAGTAGCTTTTTGATTCCTAACCGAACATTTCTCACGGCACCTGGGTTAAAAAAGGATCGATTTAGAACGTACTCACTAGATAGCCAGATAGGTACTTACCTCCAAACAAAGCCATCAATAGAATCATTCCGTGGCACTAGTTTTAAATTATGACCACGAGGGCATTTGTATTCTCCACTTTTTGGAATTAAATTCCACTCTTGGAGTAGAATAATAATATCCTCATTAATTTTCCCGGAGGTTTCGCAATTAAATATTTTAAAAATTTTTAAAAGATTTAAATTTGACATAATAACAATAACTTTTTAAATATATTAAAATAAAATTTCTTAAAAATGACCTACTCGCTATTGCACTTTCGGGCAGACTGATTTTATCGTATTTATCGTACTAAGTACCTTATAATTATTTTAAAAATTAAATATTATATAATATAACTGCTATGCATTGTAATTGGGATATTTAAAAAAACAAACAAAATTGCACATTTTAATTGGTCTTCGTTCTATTTTTATATCAATATCGCTATTTTATAACTATTTCATTATAACTAAATTGTATATTATTACAAATATTGTTATATCCAATTATCTTGATGATAATTATATCAGGTAGATATGCTAATGAGTATATTGTAGTACCTACTATACCTATATACCTATATACCTCCGCTCCGCAAATCGAAAATATCCCCCGACTTGCTGTGCAACACCTCCCCAAGTGGGTCACAGGGTTGAGAAAATTGCATTTTTGTTGCACCGAGCCACCAATTTGAAAAAAACATCGTACAGTGATGTGGTGCTAGCGGCACTCGTCGCTACGCTCCTCGGCGCCGTCGCTCCGCTCCGCAAATCGAAAATATCCCCCGACTTGCTGTGCAACACCTCCCCAAGTGGGTCACAGGGTTGAGAAAATTGCATTTTTGTTGCACCGAGCCACCAATTTGAAAAAAACATCGTACAGTGATGCGGTGCTAGCGGCACTCGTCGCTACGCTCCTCGGCGCCGTCGCTCCGCTCCGCAAATCGAAAATATCCCCCGACTTGCTGTGCAACACCTCCCCAAGTGGGTCACAGGGTTAAGAAAATTGCATTTTTGTTGCAGTTATGTTGTATAGTATGGGCAGTGATCCCTTGTTAGCGGCACTCCGCGCGGTAATCTAGTAGTGTTGCGCGCATGCGTATAAACGTAAAATCGTTAACTTTGGGAGGCTATAACTTCCAAAATAATGGTTTCCGCACAAAAATTCAAACAGTTTCGAAATCAGCGTTGGAAAACACGTCTTTTTAAAAAAAAAAAATCGAAATTCGTGAGGGGCGTGGTAAAGTGCATTTTAGCCGTAATATGAAAGTTATGTAATACCAAATTTGTAGTGGACAATTTTCAAGATAATGTCAAATCCTTTTGTTACAACTATTTAACTTCTTTGTTGGGTAATATTTTATTAAAATTAAATGCCCTTAGGTATCTACAAATATTCTCCTCAAATTTGGTGTTAAAGCTTTAATACTAATGTAGAAACCATGATTTAGATTTTACTTGGTTAAATTATACAAAATGCTCATTAGATTAAGAGGATGTCAGTGCACTATTTGTTTTCTCTCTCTGGCCCACACTCAACATAGACAAAACATACGCCAAATCATTTTTTCTATGTTTTTAAGTTATCTTTAGAGTAAAATCACTAATTACAAAATAGATAGAGAATAATATTTTTGAGGGAATGCATATCGAATATTGTCTCAAAACAATTTAAATTTACAACATTTTTTTGTTTATTTTGAAAGTCGAGTACAAAGTCAAATACCAATAAAATATAAAATCGATACGTCATTCTCTCAAAAATATTATTCTCTATCTTTTTGTAATTGGTGATTTTACTCTTAAGATTACTGAAAAACAGAAAAAATGATTCTGTGTTAATGCGTTTTGTCTATGTTGCGTATGGGCCAGAGAAAGAAAACCGATAATGTGCTGACATCCTCTTAATATTCTTGCCTAAATTCCTCTTTATTTGATCTATTTTCCTGATGGTCTAAATAGAAATACATTACTGCTAACAGGTCCCTTTAATGTGATGTAGCTGTTCTGTAATCCCTGATGCACTTGTGCTTACCTTTCTATTATTAAGCATAATTATTTTCTTTAATCTTGGTTAGTGTGATTATAATGGTTGAACTTTTATTGAAATGAGTTTTTGGGTACTGAAATACACATTTTGTGAAATATTTAAATTTTTAACACTTGATGCGCAATACAACATGTATATTTTTGTTAAATAGTAACACCTATTTTTGCACATGATTTGGATTGACCGTATTTGCATAAGTCAATTTGACCTTAACACACTGTGCCCTTGTCTAAATAACGATCACCTGTTAAATTTAAAAAAAATATTTAATTTACCTGTATTCACATACATTTTTTTTGTTTTTTAATTATTTTTTTTATCTCATTATAATATAATAAAAAATTTTGATACAAAATCCTTCACTGCTTTTTGGACAACTATGTTTAATCTTATAATTAATTTCTGGACGTAATGTTATGAATAAAAATCATAAATATTTGTATTCTAAATTTTTTGATTGTGATATTTTTATGTTTCTACTTTATTTTACTGATAAAAATAATAACAATATTCATTACTACTATACTATTACTACTACTACTAACAATAATAATTTTGGCACAAATGTACTAAATATGCAAGCTATGTGCTTAAAAAAAGTACAATTATGTACTCATTCACTTATTTTTTTATCACAGATATTTTATAAAACTATTAACAGTTAAGTCCAGCGTTAATATTCTTAGAAAATTTAAATTGGACATAACCTATGAAATACCTATTTCTGGAGCAAAATATATGTACAAGACGTGTCGATAATGGGTTACCTCGTATGTAAGCTAGTACTCATACTTATGTATCTTTATAAAACATATTTGCTATACACTTTTGTTGGATATCGTTATTTTGTCTACTAAGATTTAACCCTTGTTAAAATTGTAGAACATATTATATGGCAGATGGTACCTCTCCATATTGTTCTACATTCATCCTAGCAGCTATGCGAGTATTGTAATAGCATTCCCAAAAAATTGAAATAATTTTGTCGGTGTTATTTATATTGATAATAATAATTATTAGCACTTATTAAGAGGATGTCAGCGCACTATTTTTTGTCTCTCTGTAGCCCACTAGCAACATCGACAAAACGCATTAACGTGGAATCATATTTTCTATGTTTTAAGTAATCTTAGAGTAAAATTACGAATAATATTTTTGAGGGAATGACATATCACTTATATATTTTATTGTTATTTGACTTTGTATTCGATTTTCAAAATAAACAAATAAATCTAAATTTAAATTGTTTTGTGATCCAGCGCCACAGTCGTGGCGCGAGCTAAGTAAAAAAATTAAAAGCACGACAGTGTATATTATCTCGAAGCAGGAGTTTCCCATTAAAACCGTGTAAATTTCGGTGTTTTTTGTCAGATGAGATAATTAATTATCTACTGAATCAATTTATACCTAGTAAATTGCAAAACATGAGGAAAATCATGCAGATGATCCTTTTGTAAAAATCATAAAAATCGTACAGTTAGAAATTAAGTTATTAAAGGAAACGTGAAACATTTTTAATGAAAAATTATATTGAAATCTGGAATCACGGCCCCACTCACGCTCCCCCACTCCCAGTCTCCCCTCCCGGTCTCCCACTACGGCCACACACTAATACGTGTATTATCTATGGCTACGTCGCATTTCATTATTACTACTTCATGTTAATATTTTACGTTTCATTTCGTAGACAATAATTGAGTTTTTACAAATTCTAAAGATGTTAATTTGATCTGTCTTTTGCTGTACTGACCATTCTTAGCGTAATATATAATATAATATATAATAATATATAATTTATATAATATATAATAATATATAATTTATATAATATATAATATAATATAATATATAGACAACTATATATTACCTCCAGCAGTTATTGAGAATAAAGTTACATTAAATTCATTATTTAATGAATTTAGCAAAGGAACAATACTTGAAATTAATTATAGTAATTGTAGGATCACAGGAAACCATTCGAAAGTAATGAACGTATCTAGTACAAGACAATATTTGTGTATACAATTACAATTATGGAATGAATTACAAGAAAAAATGCATAATGTATCATTAATATCTTTGTCAACAACATCTTTAAAAGTTGATGAAAAAACGTATAGAATATGTTCTGCGATTTGTCATCACGGGGAATCATTACATCATGGTCATTATACAAGTTTAATAAAAAAATCAAATCTTTGGTTCAGATGTAATGATCTTACTTCTAATAAAGAAAGATGGCCTAGAGGTGGCAAAGACATTTATATGCTAGTCCTCGAGAAGCAAAATTAATAAAAATGTATTGAGGTATAAATGATAAAATTTGGTGATATCAAAACAAAAACCCTCCGTCTAACTCCGTGTAAAAATTAGCTAAGTAAAAAAAAAGAAGAAAAAAAATCGCATTGTATAACCAAAACATTTTTCGCTTCATATAGAATTTATAAAACCAGTAATTTCAAAGCACTATAAAGATGTGATATCATAAATAAATGCTAAGTAAACTGAATTTAAGTATATTTAGTCTGTTTCGATAATTTTACTTGGCGAGGAAATATTACTATTAATATAGAGTATACAGTGTTATTATTGGTTGTAGAGTATTATTTTGGTTAGTATAGAAATGTTCACTGTAATATTTTTAATTTATAATGTCTATTATTGTCTAATTATTCATCCAGCACCACGGTTCTTATATTGTAGAGATATAAAGAAAAAAATTTCCTCGCCAAGTAAATAAAATATCGAAACAGACTAAATATACTTAAATTCAGTTTACTTAGCATTTATTTATGATATCACATCTTTATAGTGCTTTGAAATTACTGGTTTTATAAATTCTATATGAAGCGAAAAATGTTTTGGTTATACAATGCGATTTTTTTTTTGATTTTTTTTCTTCTTTTTTTACTTAGCTAATTTTTACACGGAGTTAGACGGAGGGTTTTTGTTTTGATAATATTTAGACAAATTGATGTCATTCCCTCAAAAATATTATTCTCTATCTTTTTTGTAATGGGTGATTTTACTCTAAGATAACTTAAAAACATAGAAAAAATAAATCTGCGTAAATGCATTTTGTCTGTGTTGTGCGTGGGCCAGAAAGAGAAAACAAATAGTGCACTGACATCCTTTTAGAAGTGTAATCGCTTAACCACTTCTAAACTAAGGTACATAATACGGATCTAAAGTATAAAAACAATAGGCATTTTATCATCAAATTAAAATAATTCAATACATTATTTGATTATCTTGATGTTTTTCGAAGTAGTGAAGAATGAAGTAAAATTCCACAGTAAAAAATTATAAATTGTAATCAAAATGTAATAGACTAATCACAAAAAAAAAATATAACAACAGATTTAGTTAAATATACACAAAAATATCACAAACCAAAATTGTAGTATTTATTAAAATGTGCACAAGTATTTATTCATAATTTGATGTCTAGAAATTAATTATAATAATTAATAACATAGTTATGCTAAAAAGATATTGAAGGGTTTGTTTCAAAATGTTATAGATTGAATAAGAAACTGAAAAAATAAAATTATTTGAAAAGCGTTAAGAATAGTAAGTTGATTACAGGTATATTTAGAGGACGCTACACTTGCATATTTTGTCTCCGTGTTACAAATGTACAATATACCCTAAGGAGCATTACACACTGTCTAGTACATACTAAGGGAATTAGTCTCGTGCTCTTTAAGGGTACTCTAACATTGTATATATTATTGTGTTATAAAACAATGGTACGGGGTGCAGGGGCGTCCGCAGAAAATCAGCTCAGTGGGTGCAAAATTAATTTATTTTAAACATATACAGATATCTTAGAACTTAAGACAATTAGAGTAGTGTACCTGTCAAATATTAATAGAATCTGTAATTAATTATGGTATTTCTTTATGGGGAGATAGGTACGTATGAGATACAACTAGAGACTCATTAACAAAAAATACAAAATAAAATACCGAAAATTATCCTAAAAAAAAGACTCAAGATACCACACAAAATACTTATACAATGACATGAATGTACTATCAATAAAAAAATTATTTTATAAAGCTTCGAAACTTTACATAATTAAAAATAACATTACTTTTACAACTGAACACGGACATAATACTAGACAAATATCTAATATCAAAGTACCAACTATACACAAAAAATTAACACATATGTTGATTACATACATTTATAATGGTCCAAAAATTTACAATATACTGCCATTAGAAATTAAACTCAAAAACTCTTTGAAGATTCTTTTCCTTTTTTTTTTTTATAGAAAATTTACAATCTGTATTAATAAAACACAATGAGTAAATGTGATATACATACAACAAAATAAGATAATATAATAACAGAATGGCAGGATAAGAGAGGCCATCCAATGATAGAACCCTTCAGATTTAAATTAAACATAATTCGATTTTTTTTTTTTTTTTTGTTTTAATCATAAAAGATCACGACACCAGCGTCTTTTAAAGCAGCGAAGGGGATTGTCAAGAAGTGTATGCGATGATAGGTGGGAGATAAGAGGATTTTGATATAGATGTAATTTTTTGTGAAATTTATTGTAGTATTGTTTAGTTAGTTGTTCAACAGTTTGTATTTTCAAGTCCTTGTGAAGTGTATTATTTGTTACGTACATGGGGCAGATGTTATGAGACTGAGGGATATGGACTGGAATGCTTGGATGGTTTGTAGTTGGGATGGTTTGGCGCTACCCCAAATTTGAGAGCCATAGGTCCATATGGGTCTTAAAAAAGATTTGTAAATTTTTAACTTTGAATTTATAGAAAGTTTGGATTTAAGTATTGGGCGAAGTATGTGTAGACGATAATTTAGTAATTTTCGTTTAGATTTAAGGTGTGGTGGGCCCCAAGTTAGTCGTTTTTCGATTATGGTGTAATAGGAATATCAACACATTGTAGTTAAAGGGGAGGGGAGTTTTTTTTGACTCGCCATGTTGTTGCCCAGATACTTATTAAATCGAGGTGGTTTTGAAGAGTAGAAGAAGCTGTCTCAGGATCTGTGTCGGAAGTAAGAATGGCTGTATCATCTGCATAGGTTGCGATAATTGAGTTAGCTGTTGTGGGAAAGTCAGATGTATATATTATATTAAACAGGTCAGGGGAGAGATCGCTACCTCGCCCGACTCCATCAAATACTGGAAAATATGGAGAGGTTGAGGTGCCTTGCCTTACTGAAAATGTTATGTTGAGAAGATAAGAGTGGATTAACAAATAGTAAGGTGCTGGGAGGAATTTTTTTAACTTATAAAGCAGACCCCATTATATGCAAAAATTTTTCCTTTTCAAACACCAATAACAAAAACTAATAATAAACGTAATGATAGATATATAATAAATTTAATCACAGCTTATGGATATCGTTCAGCTATAATATCAGCTAAGATAGGGAGTCGCGATAACAGAGGTAGTCTTGGGTGGTAGTCCCGATAATAGCCGTGGTCTCGTATAACAGGAAAGTATTATTTGGGTAGTATTATATAACAGGATTGTGATATTGTCAAAAAACATGGTAGTCCGTGTAACATTAAAGTACCTTAGAATTACAAAAATTCTACAACACATAGAAAGAATTTTATCTGTGTTATAGCGTTATTTTTTTGATAGCCTTCACCAATAATGTCTAATTAAAAAAACGCAATGTTCTCGAACCGATGACTTTAATGGTGTTTATGTTATCCAAATAATATAAACCCTACAACACAGATAAAGTTCTTCCATATGCATTTTGGAATTTTGACAATACTACTATAAACACAGAGGGAGTTTAGTTGTCCCGCGCAAAATTTGTTTTTGCTATGTTTACATTTGTAAGACGGAAACAACACATGTGGACATAGGGTCCTTTTAAATATTTTAAAAACCTCTTTTTTTAATTTGAGTAGTGATAAATATTGTATATTCATTTGTGGTGAAGACTAACCACTGGTCATCTGACCAAAAAATTTGTATTACTTGAAATTGTGATCTCATTGTACCTATATAAAATAACATAAATTAATTAATAAACAGGATCAAAAGACTTTCCGCAAATATCTCAAAGTAAGCCGAATAAAAAACAGCAGACACCACAAAAACAAAATAAACCAAAGGATGCAAATCAAAAACAAATCCAGAAACAGAATCAATCTGCAGAGCCTAAACAGAATCAACCTGCTGGGACAAAACCAAATCAAAAACAATCTGAAGGTACTATAAAAGAAGACAATGATAAATTTGAAAATAGATAGGTTTGTTAGTTTAGTAATATTCTAGTTAAGAGCAGATTCTATGCAAATATAGCTGCCATCTTTTGCCTTTTCTCATTGAACTAAATTCAATGACAACAATTGATTATCTATAACAGGGATAGGCAACTGATAACCTGTTGGCCAGAATAGAAGCGGCCTCATTTTTATCTTGTTGGTGCTATATTTTCTAACGGAATACTCGAAAGTTTAAATTGAGATTCTGAGCGGAGTAGTAATTTATTGATTTTACAATGATATTATCTAAATGTTTTTTTATGTCTATCATTACTCTTTTCGACAGTTACAATGCTTCAATTTTGAACTTAACATCTTTTCTGGTAGAAAATTGAATCTAGTTGGTACTTTGGGAGGTCGAAAGTAAAATATTTCCAATAGTCTTCAAAAGCGTTACTTAGGGAAAACAAAAAAAAAAAATGGGTAACGCTCTCCTATAAATTAGGTACCTATATCACTAATAATTGTGTTCAATTTGAATTCAATGGTAAAAAATCATTGTATAAGAAAATCGATTCTAAGCAAATACGATTAGCCCAGCGTTTCTCAAAGTGTGGGTCTCGACCCACTGGTGGGTCATCAGTCAATTTTTGGTGGGTCGCGAACATTTTTTTAACTATATAGATTCTCATCTTCATATATGTGTGAAGTTGGATTTTCGGCAATGGTGGGCATCAAAAACAAACATCAAAACCAGCTAAAATAATTGGACTCCTTACGTTTGAAAATTATTAAAATTGATATCGAGGACAATGCTGTTATTAACCATAACAGAAAACAAGCACACATTCCGCATACACCTCATTATTAAAAGTACATTTGTATAAATATATTAATTATAAACCTATAAAATACTAAATACCTAATAAAAATGTATACATATGAAGGGTTACGAGGAAAAATGATAATAATAGTCAATATTCCTAAAATGTTCCGTATTGCAGTTTTAAAGTGGAACTCTGGCCTTTCTTTCCCGTTATAGTAATATTTAAACCTGTACCTATTATATCATTAGCCGTGATCTTTTTTCAATGACTCAATTCACGTGTCGATTCGTTATAAAACTAACCAAAAGGTTCTATAATTATTTGATTTTTTCTTTCTTTTGACTATGATCGTTTTTCCACGTAACCCTTCATATTTATACAATACAAATTTGGTTTTTTACTACCTACTTATTGAAAAGAGAAACAATGTGGCCGCGAAAGATTTTTCACGGAAAATTTGTGTCTCAGTGCTAAAAAGATTGAGAAACACTCGAGGAAACACTGGATTAGCCTATAATATTACAAAGAATATTGTATGATATTATTGTGATTAAAGAAATTTATTTTGCTATTATTGTGCTTAAAAAAATATATAAACTTTTTTTTTTTCTGCTCTTGCCAGCTAGTATTTAAAGTTCTCAAAATTGGCTCTCTGGTAAATCTGAGTTGCTCATCCCTGATCTATAATTTGACTTGCGCTATTTTGTGTGTATCATAAAATTATGACATCCCTATCTATTTTGTTAACAGTTTCAATGAACATAATGATTTGTTTTTCTATTTTTTTCTTTTTATATAATTCAATACAATTTTATGTTAGGCAATAATCCATCCGCTGTTCCAAAAACATCTTCAACTCAAGGTAATATAAAATAATATTTAAGTATATTTTTACTACTATATTATTTCATGTGTGTTTTATTTAATTTAGGCGGTCAGCAAATTGAACAACAAATTGTAATCTTAAAGAATAATTTACATATTCCTAAAAGAAGAAACCCCAAGACTGGTGGTTCTTTGGGGCGTGCAACTGAGATTGAAGTGAATCATCTTCCTCTTAACCTTGATCAATTGTTCAAAAAAGTTGTCTACCATGTAGATGTACAATTCACACCAGAACTACCAAAAAGACTACTTAGGTAATTTATTTTAACTTATAATAAGTATCAATATGTTCATTAAATATAATCTTTTATCCAAATATTAATATTTATCATATTTGATTTGCTTGAATTATATTTAAAAAATGCGTACTCAAGATAAAAGTAAAATACTCAGATTGATATATTAAATATTTTAATTACTTTTAAAGTTTTATTTTTTATTAGCGATTAACCATATGTATTATGTATGCTTAATTGTTTTTGTATCTTGTAGTCAAAAATTCCTATATTCCATAAGAAATGATCAAATGTTATTTGATATAACATATGTACACTATAATATGTATTTCATTGTAGAATTAATATTTGAATATTAGTTAATACCTATATAAATTTTTTTTTTCTTTATAGAAATGCTTTGGAAGAATTTAACAACAGACATTACCCGAAGGTTAATTTTGCATTTGATGGGCGAAGAAATATGTATACTATAAAAGAGATAAAAGGGGTATGTTTGTTAATTTAAAATTAAAAAAATATATCTTTTAGTATGCCACAAAGTATTTGTGAATGATTGATTTATATTTTTGTTATCTAGCAACTAACACGATGGTGTGGTGAACAAAGTTTTATTTTGCCTAGGTATCATGGTGGATATTTTTTTTTTTGTGTTGATGGAAAACATCTTATCTTAATACATTAAAATATGTATTAATATACAAAAATTAAAATATTTACAGTCGCATAATTATTATATCTATTATATAATATTATATTCAGGGGATTAAGATAGGGTAGGTACTGAAATATATGCTGTGCATCATTGTTTATAAATGTTCACCACGCGTGGAAAATTAAGAAAATATCTCACCTGTATGTGTTTTTGTCATTTTACAATTGAGTAACAACTTATTAAAGTTAGCAGTTTGCATTTAGCTTCATTTCTTTTAAATTTTTAATATTAGAAAGAATTTTCACCTATAATTAAATTTAAAAAGTTGTAAGTGTATCAATGTGACTATTATGCTGATTAATTTTGTTATTGAAATGTCAATACAATTATGTGTGCTAGTGGCGACTTAATCCTATTTCTTATTTATTTGTGGTTAGTTGTTTGTTAGTTATTTTTCAATGGTAAGATCATTTTCTAGAATAAAAACAATTTGCATTTGACTCCTTCTTAACCTGACATTTTATTTCACAATACATAAAAGATAAAACAATTAAAATTAAAATTACATTATTTAATAAAATTTAAATGTCTGTATTTTTCTTCAAAAAATATTGAGTACATTTTCTGATTCTGTTGCTTGTGATAAATCACTTTTGATAATATGATGTATTAACAAGTTTGTAACCCTATCATTTGTCATAGTATTTCTAATATGTTTAATACTATTGAAATAATATGAACCATATCGATGGTTCCAAGCCAAAATAGCTTAAACAACTATAGGAAAAATGTTCACGTGAGTATAAAAACCAAATTCGTAAAAAAAAGTAATTTTAAAATATGTGATAAATGTAATATGATGCAGCCACTTAAAGCATAAATTAATAAAATTATGTTGCTTAAGCCTACTTTTGGCGTTTAAACTTCATTTAAACAGCATACCTGCTAATTAATGTCATTTACGACACAATCTTTTAAGATTGTATAGTTAATCAATCGACACAATAGAAAGCTTAATCAATTTGTCATTCTGGTGTTTACATCATGATGCGAAAAAACGTGTTTTGTAAAAACTCGTTTACGCCGTTTTGGCTTGGAACCGTTGAACTATTATGAAGATATCCTTTTTAGAAATGTATGATTTTATGACTTCACATATCAAATATGGCTTACATAATATACATTTTAAACACAAAAGTAATTGTCTGACAACAACTTTTAGACCACCAAAATGATTCTTTTTAGAAAAAAATATGTATTTACGTATCTCACCAATAAATATATAGTGATTTACTGCATGCTTACATGTAATTATTTATTTATGTTTAGAAATCTGATACAATATCAGTTGTAAATGACGAAAATAATAGAACGATTGACTTTGCTATTTCAACCTCAATTGTCAATACAATTCAGATGAGTAAAATTGAGGAATATTTACGATCTGGATCATCCAACACTCCCCCAGGTGAAGCATTTCAAGCATTGGATATTGTTTTGAAAAACCGACCATTTGCATTAAGGTTAGTAAAATATGTGTTGTCTTAAAAAGATTCAACATAGCAAATTTTAAAGGTAAAATTATCATCTAGGGCTTCGAGGCTTTTATTTTATATTTTAATTTTGAAACGTGAGTCAAGTATTTTACAAATTTTTAAAATACTTTTAACTTGCTTTGAACATATCAGATTCTTATTACAGTTTATTTATAATTAATATTAGATCAAAAAAGCTTATTGAATTTTTAGAGGAGAATATCTTTAACAATCAAGCATAGTTGATATTTCACTCTGCCAATTTGCTAATAAGTTAATTTACTCTAATATTAAATATAAATAAACTGTTTTAAGTAGAGCGTGGATTTTTATGTAAAATCATGTTTTTAAGTAAGATATGTCAACGATTCATAGTACAAAGAATCGAAATACGTATACTCTGTTAGCCGAGAGAACACACCGTTTATTGCTTCATTAGATCAATTGGTATGTACTATGTTTGACAAAGAACCAGTCTAATATTATATGTCTCTTGTGTGTTAGACAAAAACAGAAAATCATGGTTTAAAATCCCCTTAAGAGAATAATATATTCATATATATAAAATCATAATTTTGCATATTTCACTAATTAAAAATATTTTGTATCAAAATATTTCCAGGAATTAAAAAATATGTATTTATTTTCAAACATAGATGATAGACCTGATAATAGATAATAATCTATCTATCTATAATTTAAACTGCTGCGATAAGATTATTATACGATAATTCAGTTTTTAAGTGAGTTATGCTTGTATAATAATTGTAAATGAAAAATGCTCGTAACTCACTTAATAACTGAATTATTGTAAAAAAACTTCCATCAAAACACAGCTAATATTCTTACTATCAAGTTTCACAATAGGTCGATTCACTCTAATTTTTAAGCCAACGGCGTAAAATGTGAACTGCTGAGCGTATATTTGGTACTTTACGCATTTGTATGACGGAGAAAACACTTAAAAGTATTTAATTTTTGTACGAGCATCTATTATATTTGCCCCTGTCACACCCTCATCACAATCCTATTGAAATGCCATTTGTCTACATTGTGTTCTTTTGGAGGAAAATCTTTTACATCTAAAGTAAAACTAAAATAATAGTTGGTTTTATTTTTAAAAATACAATAGAAGCCGCTTATTAACAACATGGATAATTGATACAATGGCGATACTGAAACAAAATGTCTAGGGACAGACTGGCTGTATATTAAATTATTAACACATTGTAAATCAATCAGATTATTGAAAGAACACGTTGATTGTTTCAAACAATGTGGGCCAATTTCGACATAAAATTTCGGTTATTTGGCAATAACCTATGTATTTTATAAAATGTGAATTTTTGAAAATACTTTCTTAGTGCACACTTACATGGTGGTACGAAGGTACCATGAAAATTGCAAGCCTCAAGCTATCTGATCATTATTTAGGCTCTGACCTTGATCAGTCAGTGAGTAAGTCAGAACACATTCGATTATATTATATTATAGTCATCTCAACCAGCTAGACACGCTTGTAATTATGCAAGCAATAAATCCTCTGGTGGATTTCAGACCCCTCGAAAGTTATACTTAATTACAAATATTTTATTAACACGTTGTTTATGATGTGCATCTGCAAAAATTAGCTTTAGGAATACCATTTTTACTAAGGTATATGATTTTGACCTAATATAATATACAGGTTCTCAAATTATATTCAACCATAACCAGCAACCTTACAATAAACAAAAATATATTATTATTTAGTTTATTTTCTTGCTGGACAGATGGCACCACTGTTGTATTTTTGACATTCATATTTTCTATTGGTCCGGTGGATTTTCCTAAAATTTTCTTTCTTATAAACCTTGCCCTGACAATTACGAACACAACAGAAAAAAAATCAGCCAAATCGTAAATATATTATCAAATGATGCCATGACGAAGGATTAGGGTCCATTTTTATTTATATAGATAGATGAAACTTTCGCCGTAGAAGCAATGCGAAAGCAGATCCCGCAGCGTCGTCGGTTATAACGGAAAAAAAAAAGATAGATAAAACCTATCGGTAAATTGGCACACTTCACCTTGGTTCAAAAATGTTCCTAATAAGCGCTTTCTAATGTAGTTTAATTAGTTTTCTATTAAGTTTTGAATGTTAGATTTTAATTAATTATAATTGTGTGTTACAGATTCACTAATGTTGGAAGATCATTTTTCCCAGTACCACGTATTACACCAGTTGACTTGGGTGAAGGAATGGAATTATGGAAAGGATTTTTTCAAAGTCCTGTTATGGGTTGGAAACCTTATCTTAACATAGATGGTGAATAATAAAATATAAATAATACATAATCAAAATGCTTCAATCTTCTGGTACAAATTGGATCTAGTTTTCATTGTGTTGGGGGAAGGGGGGGGGGAAGAAAAGTTTCTTCTAAATTAAAAAAAAAAATGATTTACCATATGCGTTCTATAAAAATTTAAAAAAAATTATTCAATTTTCAATTTTTTTTAATTTATTTGTTAATTATAATAATTAAAACAACATTTTTGGTCTACAAGTTTAAAAATAAAGCGGGTTAGTGGATTTCGCTCTGCTTTACAGTAGGTTGCAAGTGAGTCAATGTATAATGGATTGTATAAGAAAAACGATTCTGAGCAGGGGCTGTTTATCAGTCTGGATTTTTTAAATTTTTATTATTTATTATAGTCCTTAAGTTGAATTGATATTATCCTATTAATATTGTAAATGCTAAAATCTGTGACTGTTACTCTTTCTTATAAAAACTACTGAATGGATTTTAATTAAACTTTAAAATAATATAGCTTATACATCAGAATAACACATAGGCTACAAATCATCTCCCTGGGTCCAACCAGGGGATGTACTCAAACGGGGATTTAGAGATTTACAGTGGAAATTTTTGTTTAGAAATGGTTGCCATGGGTTTTAAAACTATTATAAACTATTATTGGTTGCTGTGAAATAAGTGTATTCATTAAATGCATTTAATTTTTTTGTACGCTTTGTTATGTATCACAATAACGTAAATATTGAGCGTATTATACTCATTATGTAGTTTAAGTAACTTACATGGTATATAAAACAATCACGATGCCACGTATCAGTGGCGTATTTAGGATTTTGTCATGGGGTGGATATGATTTTATCCAGTACTTATCAACTCGACCACTCACCCCCCTATGTTTAAATAATTAAATATGAAACTACAATTTTACTACAATTTTTTTTTTTTATTTTACAAAACAAAATCTAGTTTTCTAGATGTTTTGGACAATTCTTCTATGATTCTTCCACGGATAAATCAATATTTCTTTGAACTGATAGTAATGACAATTCATTCAGCCGTGTCTGGAAATTTTTAATTACTTAAGTCCAAACAAAATTCTAAAAACTAAACGTCTAACGTTCTTAGTTTCTTACCTCATTCATTGTATTATGTAGATGCGTTTTAAGCCTTTTAAGACTAGAAAAACTCCTCTCAGGAGTTGCAGTTGACACAGGCAATGTCACAAATATTATTAAGAGGAGTTTAATATTTGGATAAATGTCTTTATCGCAGTTAAGGAACGCTTCTATCCCAATTTTAGTTATTTCGTTACTACTGGAGGCTAGTTTTAATTTCCACATCTTCAGTTCTGCAAGAACATTGTGTGCCTATCAATTACAGGAGAATATAGTTCAATTAGGTGCTGAAATTCATTTCTGTCTGCAGCTCGTGCGCTCTCCTCAGTCCTCACTCTTTCGACGGTGCCCTGACTATCGTCTAATTTAGATTTAAATAAAAAAAAAAAAAAAATACTCAACTTAAGCCTTGGGGGGGGGGTGGATAAAACCCAATGATCCCCCCGTAAATACGCCACTGCCACGTATTCGTGGACAAGGAGAAAATATTGGTCGACAGACTCGGCATTCACAATTAGTCCAACCGTTTAGGAGGAGTTCAGTAACATACTTGGTATATACTTTAGAGTTAAATTATAAAGTTACGTACAAACATCACGGGGTCCGCGATCTACCGCAGGTAGATTGCCTACCTAATAATATAGGTACTGCTGTGAATCAGAATTTTTATTCCGGGCAATGGAAAAGTTAAGATAAATTTTGAACACCATACACTGAATATTAAATAACAAATTGAACAAAGTTTGAGTCATATAAAGTTGATACATTTAACGGGCAACGAAGTGCACGGGATCAGCTAGTCATATTATATTTTTTTATTCGTTGCTAAGGTGATAAACAAATCGTTAGAAATTAAAATCCCATTTTAAGCTGTTTTTCGTATTTTGTCAGTAGTTTTTCCTCGTGGTATTAAATAACTATTGAGAAAATTGAAAAATGATCTGTCTAAAGTACCATCTTGATCCAATTTGCTAAAAGATAAGGTACTATATATTGAAATCGAAGCACTCCTTCTGGTAGAAATTTTGTATACAGAATATAACGAATAAACCCCATTGTAAAACCACTAGCTTCCTCGCTCCTCTCAGAATCTAAAATGTAGTATAAAATAAGTCTTAATATCATTTTAAAATATTTATACCGTGTGTAACAGAAAGAACTGACCAAAAAAAAAAAAAAATTGATGCTACTTAAATGTATGACAAAAATTGTTGAAATTATATGATTAGTAAATAGTTTTAAGAATATACCCATGTTATAAAATTTCCAAAAATAATATTTTTAAAAAAGCTATTGCGTTCCAAATTTATTTTATCAAAAAAATATTGATATTTAAAAAAATTCTAAAAAATAAACTACTAGACTTAGATAAATGTTTTTACCATCCAAATCGTTCTTAAAATCAGATTCACAAGTTTGCTATTTTGAATTTATTCAAAAAAATTTAAGTCAAATTTAAAATTTTTTATTTTTAGTATAAAAAAATGAAAATAATTTTTTTCCTCTTACACGTGTAGAACAAGTGGCTATAAATTATATATAAAAAAAAAAATTAAAAATAATGATCATAACAAAAGTTATTCCAAAAGTCAGTTCTATCTGTTACACCCTGTATAGGTAGGTATATTTATTTTTTGAAAAATGTTTAAAAAATTATTAATTTTGACAAAAATAGCAAATTTAAGTGAAAAATATTGATTTTGTTAACTTGTTGTAGTTTAAAAAATATCAACTTTTGAAACTTTTGAATATGGACTAATTATTGTGGACTAGTCTATAATAATTATAGCAATGAGGTCAATATCCATGCATTCCTACTCTATAATATGTCTCTTAAATTTATTTATATAATTTTAGTGGCACATAAAGGATTTCCCAAGTATCAACCGTTAATAAACTTCATAACAAATGAATTGAATTGTAATCTCAATTCAGAAATGGAACAAAAAAATTACAACGCATTAGCAAGTTATGTTAAAGGATTAAAAATTGATTTTACGGTTCCAAATCAACCCAATACAAAACGTTCATACAAAGTAGTTGGTCTCCTTGACTCTGCCTCTAGATTTAGGTAAGTACAAATTTTTAGCAACATATAATATACATATTACAAGAAAGTATGACAGTACCTTATTAAGTAAAGGAATAACATAATTTCCCAATAATTTGTATGAAAAAGCCTAGAATAAGGTGACCAAAGCTTCCTGAAAACAAAATGATTTGTACAGTTAAATACTTAAATGTCACATGCTACATTGTGAAAATATCCATTGTTATTTTATCATCCATGTAATTTAGAAATTATTCTTGTAATTTTCTGAAGCTACAAAAATAAAAAAATATGATGTTTTGAACGATATATTCTTTAAATCATACATTTTGATCACTACAAATAGTCTATATATTTGTGTTAATTTATTAAGTTAGCTTATTGTAAAATGTAAATTTCCATTGTTTCCAATATAAGTTATAAATATGTGAAATGTTAAAATTTAAAAATGATCATTACCTATATTTTTTATTTCTGATATTGAATTATATTTGATAAAATTATAATACCCGCTGTTATTTCAACTATTTTACCAGTCATCTATTGTATTATAAGTTATAACTGGGGACCGGATTTACATGCAAATGCATATGTGTATTGAAATAAGCTTCTATGAATCTGATGAGAATTGTCCCCGATTTAGATCATTCTTATTAAAATAAAGCTAATTGTATTTTGCATATTTCAACACTTTTACATATTAAATCATAGTTTTATAGCACATATATTTGTTTTTCGTCATATTTTCACTTTCGCAGCCACATAATATCGATAAAATTACGTCTGGTTTTTATTGCCAAAGATAAGATGAAATACTTATAATATGTGACATCAATATAAATTTGTTTGCATTAAAGATCATCCAGTGCAATAAGGTAAAATATGAATTCAATCTTAGTTTTTACTTTTTATTAATGTGGGCTAATATTTTATAGATTGACGATAAAGAATGTTAAATGCCAAAGAATTTAGTGAAGAAAACAAAATACTTTTTATACTTTTAAAACCGCCGTATTACCTACTAATAAAATCTTATCTAAACCAAAGAACATTTTTCACAAAAATTAACAGCGTCCAACACTGAAATAGCTACTGCTGGTGTCCCTCAAGGCAGAGACATGTCCCCTTCCTATTCAATGTTAGGTTAGGTTTTACCCACTACCTTCCTTTAAACTAAAACACTCTACTTGGTACATTTTCGGATGACACTGCTATTCTTGCTATAGACAAAGATCCCATACAAAAAACCCAAAACCACCTAACTGTGCTTAACACCTGGTTCTACGACTGGAAAATTGAAGTTAATCCATCAAAATCCTCTCAAATTACTTTCACGCTTCGATCCTTGGAAAGCCCTTCAACTTTTATTGGTGATGCACAAATCCCATCTTCCACACAAACTAAATATCTGGGTTTAATTCTCGACAAACGTCTTACATGGGGTCCCCACTTAAAAAACAAGCGTAAAGCTCTCAATTCTAGACTTCACCTTCTCAGACCATTACTCGCTCAAAGCCCTCATTAAAAATAAAAGAACAATCTATATTCTATATGGCTCTTCTAAGACCTATGTGGTACTATGGCATTCAACTTTGGGGTTCTGCCAAACCGTCAAATACCAGAACAATTCAGGCATTCCAGTCTATGTCTAACTTTGATTATTATCAGGTGCCCCCTGGTGTATAACCAATGAATCGCTTCATAAAGACATCTGCATTCCAACCTTAAATAATCTTACTATGATCACCGACAAAAAAACAAACAAAACATATAGCACTCACTCAAATCCTCTAATCACTCAATTATCATCCTAACAAATCCCAGGTAATCCACCTAGGCGCCTGAAAAGGAACTGGTGTAGGGGCCTACTCTTTCCTTAAATCGATTCCCACGGGGTGCCACCATTGGGTGACTTCCCCCTCTCGTTAATCATCCCCATCACATTTACTTATTGTAATATATTAGTATATAATATATATAATTGTAGATGGTAAAAAAAAAAATAAAAAAACTTTTAAAACCTCCTATACCTATTTAATACTAATTTTTTACATAATTTTAAATAAAATATTTTTGATTCAATTTTAAGTGCATATTTTGAAGCATATTACAGCATTTTTATAAGCATGTTTTGAGGATTTTTTGTGCATATAAATCCGGTCCCTAGTTATAACCATTTCACTATATAATATAATAATACTATAGAAATAGGTGACTTTTCATGAAATTTATACAAAAATAGGCATGGGTAAAAGCACATTATTAACAAATAAAGTGTAACTCCATTGCAATAAGCATGATACAAAACACAATTATATAATATAAAAATTATTATTTTTCCTATCATATTTATAATCATAATAATTCCTAAAATTAGAGTGAAATAACCTTTTATACAATTTAAAGGTAAAATAATTATTATCTATAGAATCTCCTAGGTTTTTATATTATATTTTAATTTTTAAGCAAGTTATGAGTATTTTAAGATGTACATTAATTAAGGTACATTTTTAAAATAACTCGCTTTGAAATTAAAATATAATAAAAACCTATAAGTTTCCCTTGATAATTATCTTACATTTTAATTTTATAAGAGGTCATTTCACTCTGGTTTTAAAAATGACTATGATTATGATCATTATTCTGAATGTAATATTTGCTATGAAAACAAATAGTGCTCTTACATCCTTTTGAGTGAAATAATAACTATTAATGACACTATCTTAATAGATTTGAGATGGAGGATCCTGTTAGAGGTAAACAAACACTTAATGTAGTGCAATACTTCAAAATTACAAGGAACTATGTTATCAAGTATCCAAATTTACCTTGTTTACATGTTGGCAACGTTAACAAGAAAACTGCTATTCCAATTGAAGTAAATATGTATTATATTATTAGATTGTTCTATATTATTAGGTACCTAATAGTCAGTGTTGGTTAGTAACTATGGTTGAAATATACAAGGTTATGCATATATATCCCTTCTCAATCAAATATTTGATGATAAAAACAAAAATGGCAGCGTAAAAGGTAGAAATAATTACATGTATGTAAGTTACAGACTAAGATCTTAGTCCATGATGTAAGCGCAGGATTTTGAATTTGTTAGTTTTTGTCGGCGTTTATTGATGATAAGAAAAATTGATATTTGCGATATCTCTTTACTCAGCCATTTTGTTTCTTATGATAACAATCCAAGTCGATATGCAATAACCTATATATTTCAACCATGGTAGTAACGCAAATTACTTTTGCAGTAACGCTATAGTAATTTCATTATATTTTATTTAACACATTAGCGCCGGAGTTTTATATTTACAATTAATTTTAGCCAAAATATTATTGAAAACATATATATTATACCAGTGCCGTATTTCCCAGTAAACACTATAAGCTAGTGCTAAGGGCGGCAAATAATTTTTAATATTACATTTTTACTATATGTAACTCATTATAAAATGTTTTTAGACCAATGGGATTGTGGTAATATTTATATTTATGTTTTCCAATTTCATAATCGTAGAGTTTATCGCCCTATTATATAACATTGCTGCATTATTTGTAAATTTTTCGTTATCATGTTGTACATGTACATATTGACAACATTCAAGTAGATACGACAATAGTAAAATAACATGGGTTGGACGAATGACGATTGTGTGTTTATCTGTACCTTATCACAATAAAAAATGCTTGCAAAGTCAGGTACCAGCATGTAAACTTTCTTGATTTTTAATTTTTAGAAATTTATTAGCTGATATCTCACACCCAAGTGGTATACCAATTTCAATCCAGAAAAATTTCAGTGTGAACAGCCCCACAAAAATCATTTTAATTTTCATTTAGTGAGCTCGATTTTCAGGACTTTAACTTTAATAGTTAATTCACTGCAGAACATTAAAAAAATTAAAACAAATTTTATAGGCCGTTTTTTGATGTTTTCGTTTTGTAGTGAATTAACGATTGTAGATCAAATTCTAAAAATCTTCACTGCATTTTTCCTAGCCAGTGTGAATCTAACAAGACCCCAAACAACAAATACCGTTCTCCAGTTTCGGAAACCTACCTCGCTAAATAAAAATCTAGCGAAAAATTACTCTTTTTTTATCTGTGAAAAATTAAATAATTTATAAAAAAAAATTTTAATTCCGCATTTAGTATAATCCCGTTTTAATGAATTATCAACCAACCTTCTAGCTATCATAGTTAAATAGAAAAGTTAAAAAAATGGAAATTTTGGGACTGTTCACGCCTAGGTTTTTATTTATTCAAGTGGTTATACCGCTTGGGTGTGATATCAAATCTCTTTCATTAATATTTTATATTAAAGCTAGCTAAATTACCCACCTACTCAATACTGAGTTACATTTTTATTATTTTCCTATTTAACACAAATTCTTGAAGTTTTCAAAATTCAGACTTTTCATTTCAATTACCATACTTACTTGATTAAAAATCAAGAAAGTAAAAACCCAATCATTATTATATAATCCTTATTTGCATGAATATTTTATTTTTTTTATTTTTACTTGTAACTTTTTTAATATAACTAGTAAAATGAGTGACTGTCGATTACGTTTAAGTGGCTGTAAGAATAAAAAAATCGCTGAAGAAAAAAAAATTAACTAAATAACTTATTGCAAAAATCCTAGATTCGAATTATTGAATTATCAATACACTTATGTGGTAATAATTTAGATACAGTTTTTCCTAATGTAGATATTGCTCTACTTATGCTTTTATGTATGGCAATAATTAACTGTTCAGCCGAGAGGTCTTTTCCTACGTTAAAACGCTTAAAAAATTATTTGAAAGCAAGTATGGAAGGGGATAAACTAAATTCACTGAGTTTATTTGCAGTTGAAATTTAAAACTGAACTAGTAAACAAAATGGACTTCGATGCCATAATAGATGATTTTGCGACTCAAAAGTCACTCCGAAAACCGATGAATACTAGGCACTAACTATTTAATTTTGAATATAATAATTAACTATTTAAATATTTTTTACTACCATGTTTTATATCATTATATTTTATACAATTAAGTTTTTTATATGAATGTACATGTATGCATTTTTATAACAGCTGTATATTTTTATTTTACATCATTAAAATTTTAAGTAATAAAGGAGAAAACTATAATTGTATGCTTTAATAACATTTTTTATTCTAGAAAAATATTTATATTGAAAGGCGAAAATTTGTTTAGTGCTTAAAGCGGCATAATGGTCAAATCCTGCACTGTGTTATACCTCTATAAATCTATATACGGCGTTAATGGCTTATATCAATGCAATTGTAACAAAATAACTTTTTGAAAGTAATTAAATTTCCATGGAGTAACGTGTTATTATAATAACTGATGAATGTAAAATGTATGACAAAAACTAGGGGCTAGGATCTTCAAGAAAAATTAAAATCAATAAAATTAATCTACGATTCCAAAAGTTTAAACAATAATCAACAATATTATTAAAGACCCAGAGATTAATTCCTATACATATTGTTCATGTATAACAATATAAAGGCATTAACAATGTGTCTACTACCTACTTATTAGTCGTTATGTACTGATTTTGTAATTATTTTTTAAGAAAAGTAACGTTATTTGTAACTCCTTACTTTTTAAATGAAAAAGTATAGTAATGCTATAAAAATGATGTTGTGTAATGCGAATCTAATTTAAATAAAAATATTTATTGTAACGAGTAACGTAATTTTATTACTTTTTAAAAGTAATTTACCCAACACTGCTAATAGTTAATACTTAATACATAATAGTTCATAATCCAATGGTTTTTAACTTTTGTTGTTTTTTTTTTTAAAGCATTTCTTCGTAAAAAATACTGAATTATTTTTTAAAAATGTTGTATTCAAATTATATTTTTCAATACATTTTTTTTTAGCTATGCCATGTTCAAAAAGGACAATTGCGTTTGAAAAAATTATCTGAAGTTCAAACTGCGGCTATGGTGAAGAACGCAGCTCGACCTCCTGCAGAACGACGACAAACTATTGAAAATTGCATCAAAGACATTGCATACAATAAAGATCCTGTTTTGAAAGACTTTGGTATTGAAGTTAAAGAACATTTTGCTTCAATACCAGCAAGAGTTTTGGATCAACCTTCTTTGGCTTATGCTCAAAATAAGGTAAACTTTAAAATAAATAAAATACTATGGTAATATAAGTATTAACAGTTAAGACTTTTTTGAAAGTTGATTAATAATGTAATCAGTAATTTATTATTTGATCTGACCAAAGCAAATTTTATTTTAATTCAATGTTTCTAACCTTACAGTAATTATTTTTATTAAATTAGTTTTGATGAAATTAATAACTATTTCTGTTTTAATTAACCTATTGATGGTTTTAAAAATATCAACTTTGATATCTATGGGCAACGTTTTAAGCACTTTTTTTTTAAATGTTTATATTTTTACACTCAACGTGTTGGTTTATAGTTTATACTTAGTTTTTTTGTTATTGTTAATAAGATATGTAAGTTCTTATCCCACCAAAACGTTGAGCATAAAAATATCAAAATTTTATAAAAAAAATTCCAAAAATTTTAAATTTCTTAGTATTATAAACTCATAAACAATTCTTCTAAAAATCGAGCATTTTGAAGTTTTTTGACTATAGCTTACAAATTAAGTTTAAGCAATTTTTTTTTAAGTACCATCAAATTAAGCATGCAAAACACATTTTGAATAATATTCTATTCCTATTCTTTTGGTAATATTGATATTTATACATTATTGTAGGTATGTTACATATTATTTACATAATTTGATATTTAATAGTATATTATAATATACAATTTGATAGGTTACACAAATGGAAAATTAATATAAAATAAAACATCAAATTTGTCTTTGCTCAAACTTTATTTGTAAGTTATGTTTAACATTTTATTTCTATATTATTGAATAATTAATTCGATAATTAATCCAAGTACAGTTTAAATACTCTGAATAAGTGGACATAGTAATGGCACATTGATTAACAATCATTGTCATTAATATGAATAATTAAATAATTTTTATTACTGTTTATAAATCTGACATTTCTGAGTAAGTACAAAAAAATATCACGATTGAAATCTAAAAGTACAACTAAGTTTGGCATAAATGCAGTAGCTAACTACCTAAAGATGTTTTGGAATTTTTTTTTTCAAAATGTGGGTTTTTGCATGCTTAATTTGATGGTACTAAACAAAAAATTGCTCTAACTTGATTTGTAAGTTTTAATCGGGAAAACTTCAAAATGGTCGATTTTTGGAAAACTCGTGTTTTGAGTTTAAATGACTAAAAATATGCATTTTAGGAATTTTTCTTATGAAAAGTAGATATTTTTATGCTCAATATGTTAGTTGAATCAGAATTTACCAACACATTAAGCATAAAAATACTAACATATCAAAAAAAAGTACTAAACCTGTATGTAATTTAAGAATGAGACTAACTTAACAATTTATTTTCTTATCTGTGGTTTTTACTATCACATCATATCTCCATAATAATGTCATATAATAATTATATTTTGAACATGCACAACTAAAAAAAAAAATTTTCTGACAACACAGTATTGCACCATATATCGGTTGAGAACTACTGATCTATAGAGTACTTTTATAGCACCTATAAAGTGACAATAATGCATAATTATTAATTATTTTAATGATTGTTATTACTACCAATCAAGAATGCTACTATAAAGAACGGTTATAAACCACAAATATATTATTTGTATATTTTCCAGGAAACTAAACCGAGAGCTGGTGTTTGGAGACCTGATAGATTTTCTAAAGCAGTACATATTAACAAATGGGTTGTATTGAATCTAGATCAACGTACTAATATTGCAAGCATAAAGTATATAATTATGGTTATTGTGTCTTATTTCTCAAAAATTACTTTTGACTAATTATTTATTGTTATTTTATTTTAGAAACTTTGAAAAAAGTTTGATGATGAGTGCTAGAGACTTGAATGTTGTTATAAGCCCAATGGATCCTGTGATCAACTGTTTTTTGCCAAGGAGTACTTTGGTTGACATCAAAACCTCAATTGGGAGCGTTTTTACAAAGCAAAAAGCTTGCAATACAGAATTAATTGTGGTTGTTATTCCAGATTATCCTGCAGGAATTTATGGTGAGTAATAAAAAAAAAGGTGGACAACTGCTGTACAGTAGTTGTAATGGATGTGTTATATTTGAATACAATGATAAACCATTGTATAGGAAAAACGATTCTGAGCAGTTAGCGTAGTCCTTATAACATTATTATTTTTTATTTGTTGATATAGTTGATAAACAAAGTGTTAGAAATAAAAATCCCATTTTTACCGTTTTTTTTGTAATTTATTGGTAGTCTTTCTAAAACTACTTGAAATTTTCAATTTTGACCTCAAAAGTATCAACTAGGTTCACTTTTCTATCAGAAAAGATGCTGATCTCAAATCAAAGCATGCTTACATTCCAAAATGTTGCTGACAGACATCAACATTCAACAGACATCATTGTAAAACCAATACATTCTTTTGCTCCTCTCAGAATCTAAAATGATCTTACTATACTCCGTTCCACGAGAGATTGCGACTGGGTGGCGACCAAAATGTGTTCATTTTTGCGCAACCCCACCACATTCCTGTCAATGTTGCCTACCGTTGGTATTTATCGATCACTGTCATACCATTGTCGATCGACATTGCTATAATAATATACAGAGCAGTTACTGGCGTAATCATATTTATTATTATTATATGTTTTATGGTAGTTTTAATAATAAAAAACTAATAATCAAAATAAACTATACTTATTTCATAAAAATAACTCCTTTACTGAAATTGAATATTGAATATTTTAATGTAATGATTAGTCGCGGTTAATATTTGTGATGCGTTACTTGAACCGCTGTATACAGCGAGCGGACGCTACATGGTGGGGGAAATTTGGCCTCGTGACGTCTGAGCTAATTAATTTTGATGTGCCTGGCGGTCGCACTCTCTCGTGGAACGGAGTATATTATTAACAAATTTGTGATAGAGTCAAAGAATTTATTCTTCTAATCTAATTTAAACATAAAAAATGTCTGGTATATATACATTATTTTTACTTATATTAAAATGTTAAATGGGTTTGATGAAATCATTTTCAATTTTTGGTACTGGTTTGTTATAGCCCCGCCACTTCGGTTTGTTATCTCCATCATATGACTTTATTATTATTGATATTTATTAATTTAATAATTCAACGGAAAAAACGTACCATTATTATTAGGTACTTTCCATAGGTGTTAATCACAAATAATCAAAACTATATACCGATCAAACATCACAGTACGTATTTGCTTGTGTTTCATATATTATAATTTATCTTAAAAAATCATTTTAAGGTTTTTCAAGTCTTAACATTTTTTTTAATGATGATATCATTATTTTATATTTATACAATGTGTTTATTATTATGGATGGCAGGGAGATAACATGTTTGTTTGGCAGTGTAATATACTGGTAGTCCAGGTGACTACTCGTATATTTACGTTGCAGGTAGCTAGACCGTTTTGTTGATGATGATGAGGTAATGGATGAATAAATGGTACACAGATGTAAAATACACTTAGGTTTTATTTAAATGTTTTCAGTAAATTGTGTCAAAAGTCCAAATGACAATTATTATACAGAGTCTCGTGAAGGTGCTTGCAGTAGAGATGAGTGGACACGTCTGAATACAGGCCATTTCGGGAGTCCCTCTTATAGTCCAGTCCCCGCTCCCCTTGCCTAGTGATACTGTATATCTCGATTCTCACGGATGTGGTCTATGTGGCTATCGACCTAGCCCACGCACTTGCGACATTCCTAATCTATTCTGCGTATTACTATAATGTACTGAGAGCTAATTTATTAGCTACCAGTTTTATTATAATAATTTATCTACTTTTTTATGCCGAATATCTGTCCTATAACGCTATTGCATATATCACGTCCGCCTATTCTGCCGTCATAAGCAAAAACGCCGTAAGTCCCAAAAAAATAAAAATGAGGTTATAAAAAAAAAATTATTGTGAAATTCAGCTTGTGTAGACGAATATGCTTTATGTCTGAAATATTACTCCAAACATATAATACAATCAATAATCAAATAACTTAACCGCCGTGATCTTATGAAAATACAAAATACAAAAACGAGTTTTTCTCAAAACTGTTCTCCGGTGACTTACGGCGTTTTCGCTTATGACGGCAGTATTCTACATGATTGAAAAGTCGCGTAATCTACTGTGGTATTATTTTGAATATCTTTTCTCCTTGAGCCATAAATTTATTAATCATAAATTTGTTTATGCGTTCGTTTTGGGCGTTATACTCTCCATGGTTTCTTTGATTAAATACAATCGAAAAGGTTAACTAGTTTTTGTTTGATATATCTGACCATTACCTATCTACAGTATATTATGTTAAATATGTTACCTGTCGGGACTTTAAATGTTACGTAGTAACTCGCTTACTACATGCAGGACTATAATGTTTTCACTCGCCCCAGTGGGACTATACCAAACCAGTACCTTGTTTTTTAAAGAAATTTTAATATGTATTATTATTTTTATATTTTTAATATCAATTTAACTTAATTTTGTTTTAGCTTCTGTTAAACAAAAATCAGAATTGGAAGTTGGTATTCTTACACAATGCATTAAATCCAGGACTATGTTTAAAATGAATGCATCAACATCTTCCAATATTCTACTAAAAATAAATTCAAAATTGAACGGAATCAATCATACTCTTGCCGTCAGAAGCAGGTAATAATATACTAGATTAGTGATGTATGCTGGGTTTTCTTCTGCGGGCCACATTAGTAAAATATTACTTTCGTGCAGACCTCCAATAATATAAATTTATTATTTAATTGGTAACTGCACAGAAACTACCCTTAGTAATACTTGAATTTTATTTTGTGATATTGTTTTAATAATTCAATGTAGTTTAATTTTAAGATAATATGGTTGGAATTTCAACCAAAATTATAATCCGTTTGGTGATAGTATTTATCAAGACAAAATATTTATGTATTATCACAGTTGTAATAGTTTTTTTTTTCCGTATGCGCATCTGCTTCACCTCCAGCCGATGTTGTAGTTCTCTACTTATATATAATATATATGATTGACATCCAATAAGAATTGGAGAACTAGGATATAGGTGAAGTAAAGAATGAGGAATGAATATCAAAAAATTGTGATGGTACCTATCTATTTTGTTTTGGTATTTAAAATAAGGTTCTTTCATTACCTACCAGTAAATTTAATAATATAATTGCATTGCTCGACCCACTCTTATAAAAAATTGGATTCAGGGACACTAACCTTAAAATTGAAAAATGTTGTTATATCTTGTACTAACAGTACTAATTTCTTACAAACTATATAGTATAGAAGTCTGTATTTCATCATCGTCGTGGAGATTGAATGATAACCATCAATTATGACTAAAACAAAAAAGATTGTTTAAAAAAATTTTGAAAAGAATATATATAGTAGGTACATAATATTATAACTATACATTGTTACAAATTATAAAATACAAAATCAAAACTTAATATTCAACAACCATTAAAATAAGACTCAGATTTAAATGCCTTACAAATAAAAAATAAAAGAATGCATTTATGACCTAAAAACTAAAAAAAAAAAACCCGATGAATAAAAAATACCACATTTAACCCTTTTTAAATTAGCCTATTTCCTTTCCAGAGATCTACACTCAAACATTCATTTATATATAATATAGCTGATCCTGCGTATTTTGTAAAAATTTACAAAAAAATTGTGATAGTTCAATTCCTTTTTAGTGTAACTCACTGCAGTAAGTGCAACTCAGCCACCCTGGTAGGCAATGTGCAAAAACTCGATTTGATGCATGCTTGTACCTGATCTGCCAGATTAACCAATAGCAACCAATAATAAATAAATACTATTTCTATTAATTATTTCTCCTACAACCAATAGCAACCATTTATTAACAAATATTTCCATCGTGAATCTCAAAATCCCCGTTTGAGCACTTCCATTGATTGGTCGTAGTGTGATGTTATATAGCCTTTCTTGATGAATGGACTATCCAACACAAAAATAATTTTTCAATTCGAACCAGTAGTTCCTGAGCTTAGCGCATTCAAACACACAAACTCTACACTTTTATATATTAGTATAGATTGATGAGTAAAAATTACAGTTGTTATACACTGTAATATTCTGATCAAAGTTGTATGCAATTAAATTGGCTAATTGGTTGGTGTGATATAAAGATACATTTCAGCCTTGAATAATTTAAATCCCGGTAATCAACCTGATGTTACATAGTTAAAAATGAAAATTATTTATATTTCAATAACGTCAATTTTTAAGTTTTAAGTCATAATAATATGAGGTAGGTCAAAAAGTGTAAAATAATGCCTCCAAAAAATTTTGTTGTTACAACATAGAAACATGTAAGATATTCAAAAAATAGATTTAAATGTATTGAAATCCGAGTAATAGAATCATCTATACTAGTTAAACAAACTAGTAAAAACATCATTCAAATATGTTTCAACCATAATAAATTATAATTTTTTAAAGCTTTTTTTTTTTTAAATATATTCAATTTGTTTACAAAATAAAAACAATAAGTAATAATTATAACATAGGAAAAAGCGGGTAAATGGATGTCGCTCTGCTGTACTGTAGGTTACAAGTGTCAATGTATAATGGATTGTATTGAAGTTGAATTAATATTATAATGCTATTATTTTTTATTCGTTGCTATGATGATAAACAAAGATTTGAAATTAAAAACCCATTTTTAGCGTTTATTTGTAACTTGTCGGTGGTTTTTCCCGCGGCATTAAATAACTATTGAGAAAATCGAAAAATTACCTCTTTAAAGTACCATCTTGATCCAATATGTTAAAAGATAAGGTACTATATGTTGAAATACTCCTTCTGGTAGAAATTTTGTATACAGGATAAAAAAAAATATTTATTAAGAGGACGCTACTCAGCCATTTGTTGTCCACGTCTTACAAGTGCAATACTTATGAAAATTACAATCAGGAGATCACGGTTAGCTCTATTAGTTTAAAAATTAAAGTGAATCGACCTATTATGAAACTTGATGATAAGAACATTATCTATGTTTGTATGTGTTTTTTTTTATGATAGTTCAATTTTCTAGCAAGTTTGGCTTTTATAATATAGCGTAAATTAAAAATGCTCATAACTCACCTAAAAATTGATTTGTCGTAAAAAACCCCCCACATATTCAAACTCAGACAATGTTCTTTACAATCAAGTTTCATTATAGGCCGGTTCACTCTCATTTTTAAATTAATGGAGCTAAACGTGATCTGCTTAGAGTAAATTTGCTATGTTACACACTTAAGACTGATACAACAAATATCTGTGTAGTGTCCTATTAAGAACGAGATAGCCTTAGATAATACCACGGACTAAAATAGAATTAAAGATATACTGGATAAAGGTATGATTTAAAGATTGCAGCAATATGTTACCCCGTCCTGCTCTATCTTTTTTATTTCTGGGGCATAAATTCATCAGGTCTAACCAAATCGGCTTCAGGCGCAGACTACGCTTGATATACCAAAAGCTCGATCCAGTATGTATTATCTAAGGATATAGCTATATCAGTGCCACCTGCCGATTTGGCAAAAAATGATCCACCAAACAAAAGTGTAATATTGAATTTTTAAAAACTGACTCTATACGTTTCTCACTATGTCTGTCCAATAATTACAATATATTAACTAAAATTTTTAGAGAAAAAATTGTGCATATTATATTATATTTTTAAAATGTATTCATTTAATTTTTTAATTTATAATCTTTTATTACATTTTTAATCTTTTTTATTCAGAAGCAATTTTGTATTTTCATACCTACTGCAATGCACACAAAATTCTATATTTTTTTTTTTAGTTGCTAAGCAACCATTATGCTAAATCGTTAGAAAAATAATTGCTATGAAACAGTAACAACAACATATTATTCATATTACAACACATCATTGTATCGACAATTTATGATGTATATATTTTTTTTTTTATTAATTAACCTGCAGCAACTTAGGCCATTCGGTGGTTTTTAAACTGTGGGAACAGTAGGTGTAAACACTTGTGTGTAATTTTTGGCAGATTTTCAAGTGGGCACCCGTAGGTATCTACTATGCCCGGGTGGGGGATGGCGGCACTTGTTCTCCAGACAACCGACGCCTTAGTCCGCTCGGCCACTCCATCCCCCTTATGATTTATATATCGATCAGCTATTAGAATTTTAAATTAAATAGTAAATATATATTGTTAACTTAGTAATTCTTCAGCTTATAAACATTTTTATAACTCCTGGTGGGCATAAATATATTTTAAATTATACTTGATCCTTTTTTTTTTTTTTTTACGTAATGTATAACAAATGAATACAATATATTTTTAAGTGGTCAAAATTGAATCTAATGAAAGCTTCACATCTAAATAAATATTGAATATTAGGTCATTAAATAACATTATTTATGATTTAGCCCACCTAGTATGGATGGAGCAATTATTTTTGGAGCTGATGTGACACATCCATCTCCTGAACAGACTACTATTCCATCAGTTGCTGCTGTAAGTTGAATTTAAGTTTATTCTATTAGAGTGAATCTAAATAACAGTTATTCTAAATTAAACATTTATAGTAGTAGTTAAATTTAGTAATCTAAGAAAAGATATCTTAAAAAATGTATGTAATTTTAGAACATTACGATTTTTAAGTGCATTGCATTTGCCATCTACTACGTATAAATAGAAATTATCAATGTTTACTATAGAAATCTTAACAGAGCTCAGTATTACGATACTCAGCTTATATGTATATCGTAACTGCAACTTTTATATTTCAAGTTGGTAAACTAAAATAGTAGTTTTTTAAAAACAAGAAGATATAATTAATTCTTATTTCTAAGATTTCTTTTTCATAATTAATTTATTATAGACAGATATATTTCTTTCTGAAGTTAAATAATTATGTTTTGTAATTTAAAAAGAAAAATTAAGAATACTTTATAGAATTAATTAATTAATTGATAATTAATAAATAAAATTATTTAAATTCCCAATTAAAAACCCTCATCATTCAATAAATTCACTAACTATTAAAGCAAAATTATGAACAAAATGTGTTTTAGTTATAAATTAAATTGTTTTAATCATTGAAAATCATCTCAATAAAACCTTAAATTGTTTGATTAATATGCTATTGAAGTACTAATTATACTCAAAAAAACAAGATCATAGACGAAACAAAAGAAAAACATACCAATCGACATTATAAAAAATTATTTGAATAGCTATGATCCTCTTATTAATCTTTCAATATATTTTCCCTATTTTAGGTAGCAGCCAGTCATGATTTTTATGGAAGTCAATACAATATGGAATGGCGCTTGCAATCTCCTAAAGTAGAAATTATTCAAGATCTAGAAGACATTGTTCATATTCAGTTGCTTAAATATAAAGAAAGAACAAAAGCTGTGCCAAAAAAAATATTTTATTTTAGAGATGGTGTAAGCGAAGGCCAATTTCTACAGTTGTTGGAATATGAACTGATTGCTATTCGAAGAGCTTGCCTCCGACTCAATATTTCCTACAAACCTTCAGTGACATTTTTGGTTGTACAGAAACGACATCACACCAGAATGTTTCCAAAGTTCAATTATGATATGGATGGGAAGTTTGCTAATGTCCCTTCTGGCACAATTATAGACACTCAAATTACCCATCCAACAGAACTTGATTTTTATTTGTGTAGCCATGCTAGTATTCAAGTTAGTTAATATAAATGTTATATGTTATCATAGCTTTAAAGATTATCATTAACTATTTTTATTTATTAAGGGCACATCCCGACCAACCAAGTATCATCTGATATGGGATGACAATAATTTCACTGAAGACCAGTTGGAACAACTGACATTCTACCTCTGCTTTATGTTTGTACGTTGTACTCGTTCTGTTTCATATCCGGCGCCTACATACTATGCCCATTTGGCTGCATTTAGAGCACGAGCTTATATTGAAAAGTTAGTTAATTTATTACGATATCTATTATAGTATTAAAATAACATTTATTTATTTTTTAGCAAAACCATCAATCTGAATAATTTAGAAGATGCGCAAACCAGAAATCAACTGAACCATTCATTCACAGTTAATACACCCATGTTTTTTGTTTAAAAGTTAAATTAAATATTTTTTGTTTAAAAGTTAAATTAAATATTTTTTGTTTAAAAGTTAAATTAAATATTTTTTATCTCAATTTTTTTTTGTAATTTTTAATTACTTTTTTTTTAGTATTAAATATAATAACTATTTATCTCTATACTATTACTCATGATACCTTATAATATATATGTATTAACATAGGAAAAGATTTTTTTTTTTAACATGCTTCGCTTATATTTTATTTTGCTGTCTTAATAAAGTCATATACTAACCTAATATGTATTAATCTATTTAGTTTATTGAGACTTGATTAGTGTTGGTACCCAGTTATAGACGTTTGTTATTAAACGTCTATCAATGACATATTTCTACACAACCACCAGTCCTCTTGATACTGAATATGATACTGATACTATATCGGCGCCCTGTCTGATACTAGAACTACCATTAATTCCGTCATCTGATTAACAGAATGATATTATTGCATGTGACTTTTTATTTGGACGTAACCACATTTTTTGTGTTGTTTATTTTTATAATTTATTGATCTCTTTCCAGTCTATTTCCCTGAGATACATGAACAATCACTAAATATTTATTGAATAAATAATGAGCTAATAGTCCCCTAAATATGATAGAATTTTAAAACATTTTATTAAACTATTCAATTAATTAATTTATCATACTTGTAACCATTCTTATTATTATGTTACAATATTATGTCATCGTAGTGACGTATGCCGAATGTCATGAAAAATAAATTATATTAATGGTTCACAAAAATGTAATGTACTGCTAAAGCATGTAATTATTACTACTAAACCTAAACCTCACTATTTATTCATTAGTGATTGTTTTAGTAACTCGTCATTAGTATTTTATTTATTTATTAATTAGTATTAGTCACCATCATAACCCTGCCTGCCAAAGGTTGATCATTTTTTAATTGAAGCAGAGGGTCTTCAATAGTTATTTACAAGGTGATTTTAATGACCCTTCTTTTTTTTATTTAAAATTAAGAAAACTTTTCTTTAGAAAAACTACATATTTCTATTGAAACTTGAAAGCTATAATTGGATTAAATATTAAGTTAATTAAGAAGATGCTACACAGCCATTTGTTGACTTCGTCTAGCATCTGCGTTCATTAATCACGCTATCACGGTAAAGGTAATGCAGGCTGGGACCCATGCAACTACCAGACTATTCTTCCGTTTATTATTTCGAATTAAAATTCAAACATTTAAATCAATTAGCTGAACCTGCTATAACTTACACTCCTTGGAAATTTCAAATCTTTCCTACACAACGACTCAAAACTAAGTACTGTTATAGGCAGTGTTGGATTTAGGGGGGCCCAGGTGTCCCCACAAGATTCAATTAATAAGAAGCCCCCAACATGTACCAAACTTGAAACTACAAACGCTTCCATAAAAATGTAAGCACACATATAGTAACATCTTCATATAACATATTTCCATCATCAATCAAAAAGCCCACCACTCAGACAAAAGCGAAAATGGTGTACAGTATGGTTACCTATTATACTAAATAAAGTGGTGTTACTAATGGTTTCTTCCGGAATCACGACATTCATGTAATTTTATTCTTGACTTGTAAATATCTTATTGTAATAGTTTTGTACAGATTGAATACATTTCTTTGAATAATAATTAAAAAAAATAGACAGATGCAACCGTGTATGATTTATTGAAAAGTTTCTTGAACAACAAATTCTCATTGAATCATGTGTATGTGTCATTATGAACACTACTACTGTGCGATGATTCAAATTGCAATAAGACAATAAAATATGTTAATGTGACTCCAATGATCTATAACAAAAAAAATTGTTTATTACTATAATAACATGCAAGAATTATTAAAAAAAAAAAGTTTCTTATTTAATATTTTCTATTATTTACTTGTGTAGTTGTGTCGTATACTCTTATGTAATATAGGCGGATGATATATTTGTAGCAACTAATTATTAAGATAGGTCATGCCAACGAAGCAAGATGTGCTATAAGAATATTTTGCTATAATACTTATAACACCACCACAAGCACTGGCACGGGAAGTCTCGTTGTCGTCGAAAGATTCGACGATTCTACTCTAAGTGTTTTTGGTTTAGTGATTTATTTTACACCTGAATGAAAAGTTTCGGACCCAAAATTTGTGTTTGAATATTTTTTCAAGTCTTCTTCGTTTTTACCTTTTATAGAGGGACATTGCTGGGATATACATAGGTACGACCTATATAGTCAATGAAGTTTATACTGAATAGCAGTACAGTATATCGTAGGTAGTATGAAATATTGAAATCCTGATAGTCTTTCTGAGTTTGAAGGAAGGGACGTAGAATCGACAAACTCATAAACAAAGCTAACATCGCTAATCTGCTTTATTCTAAAGAAACTAATCCATTAGCTAATGGCTATTGCCTATTAGAGCATACAAATGTATAAGATGTAGTAGATTTTATAGCGTGTCACTCAATACGGGTGACTTGCTACGGCAGAATTTATTTTAATTTATAAATTTATTTTAAACGAGCAAATGAGCAATGATAATATATATAAAAAAATTGAGTAACAAGGTTTTATGAATATGTAGAAATGCATATAATATGTATTTACTAAATTTATATTATATAAGTGAACTGTGGTGAAGTCAGAAGTGCATATTATAGGTACAGCGTTGGCCGTTGCGGTGGTACACCGTCCAGTGTTTCTCAACTCAGCTAACTCAGGGGTCGCCTACTAATTTTTATAGGGACACATAAAAACATGATTTAATTCAATACAAAAATGTGGGCTAGTGGGTACCACTCTGCTGCACATTAAATGATGTGTAGGTCGCTGTGATGGATGTGTTAAATTTGAATTCAATGATTTAAATCATTATATCTATACGAAAATGATTCTGAGTGAAGATCGTCTTTCAGCCTATATTAGTATATTACTAAAAGTACAAAGTACGTAGGTACTATATATTATTATACCTACCTATTATTATTGCAATACTAATTTAATTTATTTTTCTATTAAAAAAAAAACAGTAGGTTAAGTTAATTATTGCTGAAAAATTAAATTTGGTTAACTTTAAGTTTCAAGTGTAGGTACAAACTGATATGTTATTAAATTTGCAAAAAAAAATTCTTTATTCTCCGTTATTAACTAATTTTAACTTTCGAGGGGCTCCAGACCGAAAAAAAGTGACCAAAAAGCCAGATGAAATGGTGGAATTTGGTTTGACGAATTTTAATTTTGAAAACGGATTATAATTGATTGACAAGTTTACTAAGTTTCCATCGAGGCGATTTTTAATAATCAAATTATTTTTAGTGCCATAATAATGCGTATTAATGTGTTAATATAAATAGGTACAAAAATATCATATTTTTATTCTTAGACACCACGGCCGAAAAAATAGATATTCAAAATCGTCTCGATAGAAACCTAGTAAACTTAGTAGGTAATCAATGAAAATCAGTTTTAAAAAAAGGTGGGCAAGTGGGTGTCGCTCTGCTGTACAGTAGGTTACAAGTGGGTCACTGTAAAATGAATGATATTATATTTGAATTCAACGATATAATATCATTGTATAAGAAAAACGATTCTGAGCGGAGACGGTATGTCAGTCTATGTATAAGACATATTATATACCTACATATCTATAGTATTAAACAAAAAATTGACTTATAATAGGTACCTATAATAAATTCCAAATTATAATCATATCACAATATCTATTAGGTACTTATAAGCGTTATACATCAACAAAAACCGTGATACTATCATAGATATATAATAGTACACTTTAGAAGTTTTAAGTACCCACGAATAATATTATTCAATCACAACAAAGTAACTAAGATTGTCTAGGTTTTAGATTCTGAGTGAAACGATGAATGTATTGATTTTACAATGATGTGTGTTTTTTTATTTTTTTTTTTATTTTTTTTTTATTTTTTTATTTTTTTTATTTTTTTTTTTATTTTTTTATTTTTTTTATTTTTTTTGTGTCTGTCATCACGTTTTAGGACAGTAAAAGTGCTTGGATTTTCTTCATCAGTAGCTTTTCTGATAGGAAAGTGAATCTAGTTGGTACTTTGGGGGGTCAAAAGTATAAATTTTCCAGTAGTTTTCACAAGCGCCGGGAAAAACAACATAAAAATTAAGGAAAAACGGGAATTTTTACGCAAAATTGGTTTTCCAAAAAATCGATTTTGGTTTTTGGTGTAACTCTGAAACAAATGAACGTATATACATGAAATTTTCACTGGTTGTTTATATTTGCATTTTCTATACACGATAACATTTTCAAAATATTTTGATTTATTTTGAACTGTTTAGGGACATTTTCATTTTCCATTTTTTTTTAGTTTTTTTTCTAAGAATATCAATAAAATTTTATTTGTTGGTTGCGAAAGCTTGAAAATTTAATAGAAGGCTCCTAATATATTGCTTCAAAGGCAGATGAAAAATATTAAAAATCCTTAGTCACAATTTTTTTTATAAGCATTTAAAGTTCAAAAATTGACAAAATATGGGAAAATCACGAAAATTAGCAAATTATTTTGAGTTAAGAATTCGTAAAAATTTTTCTTTTTAAATCTAAGATTTGAAAATTAAACACAAGATTCCTTATAAGTTTGTCTACCTTTATCAAAAGAAAAATGTTTATAAGAAAGTCAAATTAAATTTTTATGAGCGTTTGAAATTCAAATTTTTACAACATTGATTATTCACTCGATTTCCCATGTAGCGATTTCCTTATTTTGTTGTAATTCAAAAACAAATAACTGTAGATACATGAAAATTTCACTGAATGTTTAAATTAGCATTTTCTATACACCATACAATTTTGAAAATATTTTGACTCTTTTTGAGCTGTTTATGGACATTTACAGCTTTCAATTTTTTTTAGTTTTTTTTTCTATAAATATCAATAAAGTTTTATCTGTTGGGCCAAAAAGTGTAAAAATTTAATACAAGGCTCCTGATATAT